TTCCAGCGACCGATGCCTCACTCCATGGAACCCACAGAGAAATGGTCGAATTCTGGAGGAAAGTGGCCTTCTGGAAGTTCCATGTGAGTAAAACACCACCCCAGCCAGAAGGTACATGAACTCCCTGCAAAGGGCAAAGAATAATACAGGGAACATGTGTGGAACCTCTGGAGGTTGCCCTTTTGAGCATGCAACTAAGTTTGACCCAAGATTCAAGACACCCTGGTTGGTTCCTTTTGCGCGCAATCCTTCGCCGTGACACTTGTGGAGGAAACAACCCTGTATTGATCTGGATGAATCCGGGGTGAAGTTTAATTACCATTCAAGGAAAATTGCGCGTGCACCCCTGATCCGCAGGAAACCAGGTGTGCGTGTATATATATATATATATATGTGTGTGTGTGTGTATGCATGTATGTATGTATGTATGCATGCATGTATGTATGTATGTATGTATGTATGTATGTATGTATGTATGTATGTATGTATGTTAGGTAGGTAGGTAGGTAGGTAGATAGGTAAGTAGTTAGGTAGGTAGGTGTGAGCTGTACATACCTTTGTGTACATACATGCATGCATATCTATGTAGACTTCTATATCTATATATTATATTAGAGGTAAACATATCCCGTAGGTTGGCACCCCTTGTTTTCAGGGAAATAGCAGGTTGGCAAAAGTGTTGGGACACAAGGAGAACGCGCGTAGTTTTTTCCCTCGTGCTTCTTTAGGTGGATTCAAAGGGACACCCGTCACAAGAAAAGCCGTTTACCATTCTGGGGGCCCGCTAGTTTTTGACACATGGTGGTGCCATTTTTGAGGGTCCCCTTCTTTTGCGGTCTGAAAGGAAAGCCAATAGGAAATCCGCCAGTTTGGGGATCTCCTACAAAAAACACAGACCCCATGCCCTGTTGAACCCTGTTGCCTGTCGCAACAGTCCAACCACAGGCTCGCCTTGCAAAGGCTACGCAGGGCTGACAGGGGCAGCTCGGACCATAGCAGCAAGTCTGACCTCGGCGTTTCTTTGCCACCTCAAAAAGAAGGTTGGGGCCCAACCCCCTTCTTGAGCATGTTCAAACACTTATTGTTCTTGCTGAGAATGGCCCCTGTAAACCTTCCCTTGTGGTTTCCTTTAGGGAAATGCCTAGGTTCTTTTCCAAAGCCAAGGACCTTTCCCTACTGAGTTCAAAGACTTTTTGTTTCAACCACTTCTTTTCGTTCGCCTTTCCAGGCCAGATTCTGATAGTCAAAAGCGTTGGTTGCCCAAGCCTGTCTAGATTCCCCCGCTGGACGTATGACATTTACATGGAATTCTGGGCGGCCCTGCTCGACTGCATGTCTAAGCGTTGGGAGATGCTTCTTTTATCCCACCCCCCAACTAGACCAAAAACATTGGCCACCCGTAGACCCCCAACAAAACCACCGCAAGGCGCGGTTCACGCACAAAAAGAACGCACGTCACAGGGACCCACTGGAACAGCTAGCGAAACCGCTCGTGCGAATCTTGTCGGGCACCCCGGCAGCTGTTTCAGCAGCTCAGCCTGCCGACTCGGCTCTTCCCAACTTCCGTCTACTCGTCCCCCCATGAAGCCAGGTGCCGAAGAACCACCTAGGGTTGAGGGCTTGGATCACGTCTGAAGCTTATAAATGAACTGAGGCTCCCATGACAAATCCACCTTTGCAATCTCTTTCTAAGGAAGCTGAGGGACCTGACGGCGACCCAAAACCCTTCTAGCCATGTTAGGATAGGCCTTCTCCGCCGCCTTTGTGTGCCCCCCATTGAAGGACCGTGACAGGTGTTGATTTCGACTCCGCCGCTGCGGCCTTGCAAACACTTGGGCCATGTCTTCGCGTGGCTGGGTCCAAAAAACAAGCACATCATCCCACCATTTGGCTCGGCGGTGTTTTCCAGGGGTGGTTTCGTATTGACCCTCTACAAGAACCGGTTCAAATCCCCAAGCCAAGAATCGAGAACTGCCAACTAGAGAACTACCTGATTAACATGGGTCGGATCCAAACTACGAATTACAATTTGAGCACTACCTTAACATGGGTCGCCCCCAAAAACGCTTGTCGACTACCCAAATGATGGGGCGATAGGAAGCCTCGTTGGGTATGGCCTCATGCGGGAACCTCAGGCTTGGCTGCTGTTGACCCCTCTGCAAAAAAAATGACTTTTTGTGGGTTTAGTGGAAAACCCCTTAATTTCCCCAAAAGTTTAGTCAAGAAGGGCCAAGGTGCACAACTCCCCGCCAAAACCCCGCTAAAGCCCTCCGGCCACTGGCCATCGGCGCATCGGCCTTGGTGGCCTTCGCCGGTGGCGCGATCTTCTCCCGCCTGCTTGGTTCACCGGTCCGATCGACGCCGGTCGGGCGCAAGATACGTGCCGCAGTCGTGCGTTGAACGGGGCGCGGCCGTGGGCGCCTTTTGGCGCCGGTGTTGATATAAATATATTGTTCTATGTTCCTCAGCATTGGAAAGGACTCGTTGAAGGTGGAAGGGGCCCTCTGGAAAGTGTTGGATCTCAAAAGGGGGGAGGGGGGGCCTTGTTTGAGGGCCCAACTATTAGGGAGATGTGATAGAGGTAACGAGTCAACTGGACTACGACATGCCTAAAGCAGTGAAAGCAAATAAGAACGCCAGAATGTGAAATGCACATTCACGTTTATGCATGCGGGCAAACAACTGCACGTGTAGTTTGGTTTCTTCTTGTCACATGTACTTTGTGTTGGACGAAAGTGCACCTCTCAAGATCTGGGAGTCTAACACTTGGCCCAAGGGGCAAAACGTACGTTCATTTGGCAGCCATACTCGGTCAATCTTGAGTCATTACTCCCCACATTGACATGGAACCCACAAAGACCGCAATTCGTAGAGGAAACTCCTTTTGGACAATTTTAATGGACCCTGCTTTTGAGTGTAGGGGGAGTACATACAAATGTGCGTCTGTTTTGGCGGGACCCGGCAAAATGGATGTTGGTTTTCCTTTTGGTTTCCCTTGTAAAAAAAAACACGGGTCCCTCAAAAACTGCCATGCCGAAAAGGATGTGAGCCACGGCACGCCACGGCCAAAACATGCGGTTACCCTAACGGAAGTGGGGAAAAAATGAGTGAGTTTTATGGTTTTGTCCAAAGGACCCCGCAGATCTCGGTCTTCCCTTCAGTTTCCCTGTAAAACAACCAGCGCGCCGAAAAAACAACGGGCCCCCCAAAAGAAAAGAAGACCACGGCTTGGTTGACGTTGGAAGGGGAGCAAAAATTTAATTTCCAGCAGGTAAGTGGGGATTTCCCACTAAACCACAATGAGCAAAAATGTAAAATGTTTCCCAACGACAACCATGAAAGGCCCCGCGTTTTTTTCACTTCGGAGACCCTCTCCGAGAGTTCGAGTTTTCGCGCTCGCCTGCATTGGCTCCGGAGCTCCTCGGAGCTCAGCTTCTCCAAGGCGCCCAGCGACCGGAGCCTCGCTCGCAGGAGGCTCACTTCCGCGTTTTCGGGTTTTCAAGGGACCAAATGGAAGCCATCCATTTTTTTCTGTCTATCTACTTTCATGTTTATTGTTCAGTTGTTTTGTTTGTTTTCGTGCGGGTGAGCTACACCCATCTTCTCACTTCCTGAAGAGCTACTGCGGGGGAAAAAACTGCTGGACGAGCGGATCCTCTAAGGCCAGAAAAGGTGAACCTTTGAAGGAACCACGCCGCCAGGGACGTTTGGCCTCTGGAAGAGGAAAGCGAAGGGGAAATTTCGTGCCAAACTTCATTCTTTGCAAAATATCAAGATTTTGCGAACTGCCTGCGATACGGCGGGAAGCCCTTCCCAATGACATGTTCTTCAAAGGAGATGTTTTTTGTATCACAGAAGTTGGAACCGACCCGAAAATTCCCACAACCCTGGCTATCAAATGGTACCGTAAAGTGTCCTGTTGGGTGCTTGGAGGGGAATATGACACAACCCTTTAAGCGTCCTGAGTGGATTGACCGAAGAAGGCATGCTGTTTCAAAAAGTGTAAGTCCACGAAGTCAAGAAGTCAGAAACCCTCCCTACAAGCCCAGAACTGCAATACAAGCCTTTCAATCCAACATACCCGAAAACTATATCTTTTGTTGCAATTGTCTTCCCGACAAGTTGAGCATAGGTTCACCCTATCTGTTCCACAGGTTTCCAAACAGCCACACGGTGAGTGCCCACTTCCAAAGTCGCTTTTTGCTGGCCGCCGCTTGCGCTGCACGAAGCGCGGCCCGTGCCGTACTCGGCCTGCCAGGAGGCGGGTAGAACCACACATGGCATGGGGGGACAACTTGTCTTTACCGAGGGGGCAAACCTCCCTAATAAATAGCGTCCATTTGAGATTTCAACAAGCTCTAACAATTGCGTGGTCGAGCATGCCATTCGAAGGAAAGCCGCCAAGATACACACCGGCAACTTTATAATAATTTATGTCTCCGGAGGCTTCCATAAAAGCCAAACATAAACAAACAAACAAACAAACAAACAAGCAAGCAAGCAAGCAAACAAACAAGCAAACAAACAAACAAACAAACAAAATGGCTTGGTTGTCGTTCAACTCTCAACCTGAGACTTACATCTTTGCCATCACCATTTTAGTCCAAAATGTAAGACCAGGGGTAACTTCACAGCTGGGTTTTAAACCGGGGGTGTTGGGTTCCTTCTAGAAAACTGAAACGCCATATAGTGTGGTGTGAGCGCATATCTAGAACAATTGGCGGGTGCAAGTGCCAACGGACCGAAATTGCCTGCTTGCCAAGCAGCCATTAAACAAAAAATGAACATCATGGGTGTCATTTTTTGGGGGACCCCCCAAATATATATATATATATATATATGTACATACATACATACATATATAAATAAGTGTATATATATATATATATGTATGTAGGTTGTCTTTCGGTCGCCCTTAGAACCCCACCAAAAAAAGGTACTGTCAAAAAGGCACACCCTCATGGGGGCAAAGTGGCAGCCGGAGAGCCAGCCGGCAGTCCTCACAGCTCGCCCTCGGACAAGATCGCTCCTTTCATGCCTGCGGCCCATTTGGGGGTTGAGGTTTGTTCATCTTTAGGAAGCTGAAGCCAAGGGCCGAAAAGAGGAGAAAACACATGAGGCATCCACCATTGGATGGAGGGTCGCTGCGTTGTGTATTGCCTAGCAATCACAACCTCAGCTAAGCGACGGTCAAAACATGACATGTCAGTTGGACAAATTCAATGCTTTTTCCCCGTGAGCAAACGATGTAGCGGCCACCAGCGACCGCTGTAAAAAGAGACCCTTTCTTGGGGTAGACAATTTTGGAAAGGAACCAACCCAACAAAACGGGTGCAACTAAACTGTCGCGACTTTGCCTTGAATATCTTCCCAAAATTGCCCAACACGCACTCCACAAACTGGGGCAGTGCAATTGAGCTTTACACCGACGCGCTTTTTGCCGCTTAATAAGACGGAAACACGCCCTACCTGAAAGAAGAACAAACTCAAATCCTCGAGTAGTCCGACTGCAAACCGAATGCTTGCCACTAGAGGTATTCCAAGTTCCGGCGGAGTGACATCCACACGATATTAGTGATATTAAGGGACGCTACCCCCAAACAAAGAACCCTGGAGAAGTCCTTAACATGCCCCTTTCAGGACACCCAAGAATCATTGAACTAACGTCTGACTTGGCAGAAGGTTCCGCACATTGAGTTTGCGGCTGAAAAGCTGCGCACGTTGAAAGCATTCAGGGGAACGAGGCAGCCACAAAACAGATGGGATGGCAGCTTCCCTTGCTTACCAACCTTTGGCATGGTGGTGATCAAAAGCTGTACCTGCATCCCCCCCCCCACCAAACAGGCATACTAAGACGAGTGAAGCGTTGGTTTCCCCTTAAGCTTTGCCAAGAAGAAACGTACCCTTAGCTTGACACCTACCCAGTTCAATCCCGCCGGACAACGCCTTCCATCCTGGTCTGCCCATGTGAAACCCACCCTCGGCCTATGCGCATGAGGAGGAAGGCGACGATTGCCATGACCAGCACAAGCAAAAGCAAATACCTGGGGGTAGTCATAAATCACGAGTGTCAATGGAAGCTGACCGGGTGGGGAATATGTTTCTTACCAGAAAAAAAGAACCCGTGGCCAAGAAAGGCTTCGGGTGTACGCAGATGTGATCGATTGAAATAGAACGTGAGAACAGCTTCAGTCATACAAACTACCTCTGAGTCTAGGCCTGCTTCTCCATTGGTGGTCACAGAACAACAGCACAAACGGGAAAGGCCTTTATATATTTTCGCATGCACAAACACACGGACATGCCTTTGCACGCGCAGTTGCCCGATGTTTCAACGGGTGCTGCGGGAATGCGTGCTCACGTATTGCCGCCCCAGCAAGGTATCCACACGAAGCAACTCGATTCAATCTCGCTATGCCACCTGTCTTGCACGGATTGATCTTCCCTCCCCTTGGCAAAAAAACAACAAAAAACGAAGCTGATCTGCAAACTCCTGACGGCGTGCCACATTCAATTGCTCTCCGGCCAACTAATGTAGAACCTCACGGTGGTCGATACTGGACGTGATCCTGAAGTTGAGCATCTAGATTGTGTGCTGTTTGTTGCCTAAGTGCAGCGATGATTTGATTATACAGTTTTTGCCGGATCGTGGTACGTGCTCAGTTTGCGGATCACGCTCTGTTAGTAGAGTGGCAATATGTCATAGTGTTGCTGGATCAAAATGGTTGTAACAAATATGTTTCTAGGACAAGCATCTCCTCTTCAACGTTCCACAAGCGAATTTTCACAATCATCTTGGCCAACGCTCCACAACTTCAACATTCCCAAGCAGAGCAACTTTGTCCTGTTGCGGTCGAGCAGCGCTGATCGCTTGGGTTCTATGCATTGTGCATGAGCCTCTGCTATCCTGTACTCCCTCAGTGCAACCCACCAGGACAAGAGGGTCCCATTCACAGGAAGGTGGTCGCCGTTTTTCTCGGTTGGGGGGGAGATGTGTCTAGCCAAGCAGCTGGAGCCCATCCGAAACGGTCGGCTTCGCAAGCCCGGGGGAACCACAGCAAGCCCCGAAACGTCGGGCCGTGCAAGCCCCTCGCTTCCCACTGGCACTTCACAAGCCTTGTCCTTTGCAGCCCCCCTAAAGGAAAAAATAACCAAACAAGAACAGTGGACATGGCAAACCAGCAAACCAGGGCTTCAATGCGAAAGAGAAGGCCAACATACTAGGGATCCTGAGCCGACTGCCTAGAACCAGGATAAGCTCTTTGACCCCAGGCTATGATGAGGGAGACCTGGCAAACAAAATGTTTTGCTTGCAGGTAAGGCAAGGGGCAGGCAGCTGCCGCAGGTAAAGCCACCCGCAGAGCTGCCCTTCTTGCAAGAGAGCCTAGGGCGCTGACTGGCTTGTGCCTGGAAACTGGCTTCAGCTCACTCCCAAACACTTGCCAGCCCGGCATGCAAGGGATGGAACCAAGGCTTGGTGCAACCAGGTGCACGCACCAAGGCAATCTCCCCAAAGATCACCTGCTAACAATGTGGTTGGCAACTTGTCTCTTGTTGGGGGAGCATGAAACCATGTGGATTCACGTGAAGCAAAACCATGCTCCTTTGGGCTCTCAAACTCTCCTTCCAAACCAACTAACGGAAGGATCGTGGTTCAAGTGAACGCGTCCCAAGCTGCGGTGCTTTTCAAGTTCTATCCCGTTTAGTCTCCATTTGGCAGAAATCAAACACATCTTGAAAATGTGTTTATTGTACATGAACACCGGGCGTCACCACTTGCCCAAAACCAGCATGTTGCTTATCTCTTACATATTGGTGAAATCCCCAGTTTCTATTGATCACCCAAAATGTGGACACTGCCCCGCAACCCATTCCCCAAGTTTTGGGGTATCAACCGTTCCATGGGGTATATAAGGGATACTCAGTCGCCCAGTTTGGACCCAGAAATCAAAGATCACCTTTCGGGGCCACTAAAAACACAGGAACCCAAAACTGGAAAAGAAAAAAGGTCGAAAGCTTGATTCGCTTTGATTGCTCAGGGCTCCCTGACCCCCCCCAAACACACCTCCCAAAAGAGTTCGATTTTAGCCTTTTCCAAGGCGGCGTGCTTGGGGTTGTTGGGCTTGGGGGGGGGGGTGTTTAGAGACTCTGTCCCCTTCAGGGGCTGTGGGGTGCGGGGTACATGGCTTCCCGTCGTTCCCATCTCTCAGCCCAGGGGAGCAAAAATGAATTCAACATTTTGAAGTTAAGTGGGGGTTCCACAAGAAGCCACAAGACGCCCGACAACAACCATGTTAGTGGTTTCCCAACAGCCACAATAGCATGTAACATCTTTCCCAACAGCCACGTTCAGGTCAGGGGGCAGGTGGATGGATCGGTCCCCGGAGCCCGAGACTGCGGTGCAGCCCACGAAGGCGGCGCAGGGCGCCGGGAGGTCGTGGACCTAGCCACTGACTTCAGGTTCGATTGGATTGCCCGAAACAAGTAACCAAGAGCTGTAAGTATCTACCGCTAGAATGGTTCAAGCGCAAAAAGTGACAGCAACCAAGAACTTTACGTGCTTCTACCACTCAAATAAAACCAAGCTCAAAAAGTGACAGCCCATGAAAGTCACCACGGACTTTCCACGTGGCCCAAGCTCCAGCATGACTACAGTCCATGAACTTAGGAAGTGAGACTGAACTTAGCAAGTGAGACTGCCTCAAGGGGACATTGGGGTAAATATATCCTTCTAGTGGCTGTATATCCCATTAATCATTCAACCCCGGGGGTGGTTTGGGGGTAGTGGAAACCATCATCCCAAAGGTTTTCTGTCAGGGGATCCACAAACAATCCCAAACCCCGAAATTGTTGTTTTCTACTGGGAGCTAGTTGAAGTGACATCCTCCAAATTTTGCCTCTAGATGGCTGACTGATCCGACACCCGGTAAAAAGTTGTTCTCTTTTTGATAAGCTACAAAGGTCAGTCAAGTCTGGCAATGATGGTGGGATAAAGGTGAACCACCCCCCAAAAGTAATTTTCAGAACACCTTCCAAATGTCCACCTTTTAAGGGCTGGTTGAAGAGAAATCCGTTGTCTAAGTCACATTATACCGATCCTTAGGCTCCTCAAGGCGGGGGGGTTCGGGGCGGGCGATCTATGAAAGCTCCCATGTCACTTTCGAAAGGGACATTCAACTCTCAGGGGGTGCCTTCCCCAGGCTCTGGCAAGTTGGGCCTAAGTCATCGAAGCGCCACATGGCGCTACGGATAGTTTCACCGACTCAACGCATGCACTCCGTTTTTCGTGTGAAATCGGTTAGTGCCAAATTGGGAGGATTGGCCCAAACGAGCCATTGCCTCGCTCGAGCTCTTCGGCCTCCTTCTCTTCTTGGTGAGAGCAGTCCTGCATTGCGCGGGGGGCTCGGCAGCACGATCCCGTATCCTGGTTGCCAGTGACAGCCAGGGCAACTGTTTTTCCTTTTTGAACGACTCAGCCCGCAAGATGCCCAGCGCGGCCATCTTGATGGAGCTAGTCCTGACCCTGCATGACAACCAAGTCACGATGTGCTCCAATCCGCCCTGTTTTAGCTTGGGTCCTCCGAAGCCCGGAGCAGGCGCTAGGCATACGGCAAAGGCGGGTGGTTGTAGTCTCGCGAAGTAGGGGCATCTGGTTCAAGGAGTCCTGTTCCCTGGCCTTTCCCAGCATGTGCCGCTGGTGATGCCTATGATCGTCCGGTCTGGCATCCAGGCGGGCCTCCTCCTCCTTGTCCAAGTTGAAAATTTCCAAAAACGTCCCCGGCAAGGTGTCAGGGGCTTCGCTCATCTGCACTTGAGAAGAAGAGGTCCCCCGAGGCCGGCTTGACCTCCCCAGCCAGCACCGACCAGCCTTCCTCCTCCCTCTGCACGAGGTCTCGCGAGGTACTTCTCCATTGAGGCCCTTGCCTTGGCCTTCGCCTCTGCAACATTAGCACCCGGGTAGGCCGGAGCGTGCATGGCTTTAGAGAGAGTAGGGCAAAAAATGTTTCCCAAGTGGACCCTTACAATGAGTTAAGTCAAGTGCACACCTACCCCTACACTTTTGCCCATTAGACGTCAGGCGAGGGAAGTAATATTTCCGTCATGTCTGTCCAAAACACCCAGGATTACAAGCTAGCTATGCAAGTGATATTGCGAGTAAGCTGCGTAAACCGCTGTGATACGGTGGATTCCCCAAAAGTTTGATTTGCAAGGCTTCTCTTGTTCGCTTGCTGGAAACTGGCTTGTTCAAATGGGCGGGGACTCCCCTTCCAAATCCGCAGCCTGCGACAACAACAGAAACCACTAAGTTCACCAAGGACTAACTTGGAACAACCCAGTGAACAAAAAAGAAAATGACTGTATCAAGGCGCATCGCTCGCAGCTAAGAGGCATTCTCGATCTTCTTGAGACCTTGGGATCAGGTGTGGGAGTGCAGTCAGGTGACTTATGTCAGTCGTGCAATAAGGAAAACGCCATGAACTCTGCAATGAAGCAGACCCCAAACAAACACCGCATCCCGCACAAAAATAAAGCCACACACATATCAGCAAAAGCAATGACATGCCATCATCACGCAATAAGATAACAAGGTGACCGGACGCGAACCATCAACAACACTCATCAACACAAATTTAAAGCAACCCCTAAACATGAACAAACCTCTATCCCTACATAGAGCATAGGGCTGAACATGATTGTTACTGTACATATGCAAACATGGGGCTTGCTGGCAACTTTGCGGCAAAGTACATCCACATGTGCTTGTCTGTGATATGTTTCCCGTCTTATCACGCTCCCCCATCTGCGGGGCAAAAAGACAAGTAGCTGCCAGAAAACATGGAACCCAGAAAGGAGTTCCCTGGTTCCCTCAAAAGCTTGCTCTTCAAACAACCGTGTTTGGTTGGGTTTCATGTCAATCTGAAGGAGTGTACTGCAAACCCATGTGCAGAAAAGTCGCATCGCAGAGCTGGCACCGAGTAGACCCGCTTGCCTGACATCACACGGCGTGTCAAAGGCGTACCAGTCATACCGTTTCAAGGAAAGGTCTCTTTAGAAATTGTTTTTAGGCTCAACAAACCAGAGAAACCCCAAGAAGCTATGCAATCCCCTCGAAAAGTTGGATAATCCTCAACAACCCTGGAAAACCCCTACAAAAAGCTGCCCCCCCCCAGAACAAAAACGCACAGTGCCAGCCCTGCAAGGCCCTCACAGCAGCTGCTTTCCCACTCAAATCAGAAAAGTCTTTCAGCATTATGATCCTCATCCCAACTTCTACCCAACCTTCGCAGCTCTTTTCCACGCGTTGCCCAACTTGTTCCAAGCTTTTCCCTGTTCTCAACGGCTCCCCAACTTCTTCCCAACTTGTTCCCAACGTTTCCCAACCATTTCCCAACTGTTCCAAGTTTCTCCCAAGTTTCTCCCAACTTGTTCCCAACCTTTTCCCAACTTGTTCCGCGACCTTTTTCCCCGACCCCTTTTTCCCAACCTAACTTTTATCAATTTGTTCCCACAAGAAAGAGTCCTCAGCATGCCCACATCAATGGATCAGTGCCCTGATGATGATGAACTCAACCTGTTTTTTTTGGTGGATGTGATGCAGCCTTGAACAACTTAACACACTTCACTTGGGTGTTATGCAGCCTTAAAAACTTAACACCTGCTTGTTTTGTGGATGTTGTGCAGCCTTGAACAACTAAAACACTTTTCACTGAAAAGAGCGTCCGTCAGCCCCTCCTCCGGTGACAAAGTTCACCGCCACCATCTGGGCGGAGGTGTCCAAGGCGATGGCCGTCAAGGGCTTCTCGTCCAGCTTCGCTTGTTTCACCTTGAGGCTCGTCGCTTTTGCGGGTGGCACCGTCTCGCTTTCCGGTTTTGAAGGAAAACCTATAGGATTCATGTCCAGAGCCACTTTTGAGGTAGTTCTGAATCCAAGTGCTTAAAAGGGGACACCGAGATCCCGAACCAACCACCCGGGCTTCAAACACAAATCGGGATTCTCAGCGGTTGTCGGCCTTCCTTGTGTTTTCACGCACGGTTGTTCCCACTGCCGTTTGTCCCCACAAAAGGCGCAAACTGGAGGCTGCTTCCCCTTCCTATAACTGGAAAATGGACCCACGGGGGCATGTGTTAAGGCATGTTCAATCATTTTCAGCTTGGGTGTTGCATTCGCGGAGGTTTGCATGCCACCAGTTGAAGTGTGTGTGAGGCAGTATATCCCTTGCAGCGGGAGAACGACTTTCCGGGCCGGCGAACGTGGAAGCTCCGCTACCCGCTACCCTCGGGAACACAAGTAACACAAAGGCAAAGCATTTTCCAGGCTGAAATGAGGACCCCAGCAAAACATATATATTTTTGCCTGGCTAGTGGAAAACAAAGGGACCCCAAAAAAGCAAAAAAAAAAAAAACAAAAAAAAAACAAGGCAAGCTAATTCTGGGGAACAACTTTGGGTATGGCCCAGTATGTCTGAAGGCCTTGGGCCACTGCTGCCAAGTTTCCACCGAGCCATCGCCATTGTAGAGAGCCAGGCCTAATTATCGACCGATCCCGAATTGCAGAGAGAACTGGCAGTGGAAAGAAGGTACCTTGGGGCGGATGCTTTGTCTTACTTCAAAAGGGAAGCCCAACCTCAAATCCATTCGATTCGCCCTTGTGCAAGTCACTCAACCGACCAACCACATGTGCGCTTTCCGCAGGACATTTCCACTACAGGTCACGTCCACTTTCGGACTTTGAACTCCAATAGATACAGTCAAACAACAAGCGCAGAAAGTCTTAAAGGGAAGCTCGCACACTACAAATCTATGCATATACATAAGCATACAACTTAGTATGTGCATATGTATATATATATATACATTACACACACGCACACCTTGAATTCTACCTAGCATTTCCGCGTCACGACTTTGCTAGCGCCTAACCACTCTCAACAACGTCGGAAAAAGGGAGGCGGGCTTCAACAAACTGTGAGCTCCATCCAGCTCAAGAACCGCTTGGGTCCAGGCAGGCTGGCCCGCGGGGGGCCGACATCGCTGCGATGAACTGCTGCTGGCCCTCCTGCGATGGTTCAAGTCAGAGGGTTCCATTCCAAACCGCTCGCCCCAAGTTGCCTTGGATTCACTTAGGTCTCTTGGCAGAATTTTGCGAAGTCGGGGCCGGGGGTCGCGTTGGGGACATGGAGCCTGACAGGGGGGTCCCTTGAAAAGCCACCTGTCAGGTTCCATGTGAATTGGAGAGTCCACTTTGGTTTCACCTAGCTCCTTTGGCGAAGGCTCCCAATCCTAGCTTCCTCCAAACAGGGCTGTCGTGTGCCTTTCGAATGAACCCCATTTGCAGCAGCCTTCTGGGGAATTTGCTTGGCATCCTTCCAGGAGTATTTCCTATGGCTTCGCTTGCCTGGGCGAACCCTCAAGATCTTCAAACAGTCGCTGGATGTTTGCCGCAATTGGCAAGAGGTGGTGAGATTCACCCAGGTCATACCCCACTTAGCTACGTAGTGTTGACTCCTAGGTCCCCCTTTGCCCAGTCTGTGCCCGGGGAGATTGTTAAACAAGCATATTCTGGTTGTGTTCAAACGGACCTGGGAGAAACAAAAAAAAAACAAAAAAAACGGAAACTGGGTGCCAATGGACAACTCGGTATGTCCATGTGTGATTCAATACCTTTGCTCCGTAAGTATCATCCAGCAGCCAGGCGGCTCAACACGAGTGACACATGCTGAATTTCTGAATTTCCATCCCCCGCAGCCCATCGGACAGCCAAAACCCGGCTCCTGCGGAGGCAAATATCCTCAGGCACAGGTTGTGGAAAGGACCCCTGGATCAAAGAATTGCGCACATTGCTGGCAATTGGGGAACCTGCCCAATACAAATGATTCCTTGTAGAGGGTAAATTGGGGCTTCCACCCTCCAAAACACCTCCAAACCACTGGACCAAACCACACATTGGAGAGAAGCTGATTGCTGGGGCATGTGTGTCGGAGTCAGCATGTTCATCCCCCAGTCATACGCCCATTTCAAGGGGAAGCCATGATGGCGGGGGTATTGAGTTCCCTGGAAAGGGGTGCAGGCTCATCCCGCCTGCCTGGTGGTTGGAAGAGAGCAGTTCCCGAGCTGGGGGTATCCAAATTTGCCTTGAAGGAGGGAGCTAAGGAGCTACCAGGAGGTCTGCAAGGATATGGCAGATGTGTACTTGCTCTTTTTCCAAAAATCAACATCCCCAGCAAGCTCTTTACAATCCTTCGATCAAGCCCCTTTTAGGTTGTCAAGGCGCTGGAGCGCTTGCATTCAGCACCACACAGATGTATCCAAGCCACGAACTGAGGGGTACCTAAAACAATGTGGAGAGAAAAGGCTCCCCTTTCCTTTGATTCAGCTTCTAGTCCGTGTGTCGATTGGAGGGGGAAACGGAATCAAAGCCATCGCTCCATGTCTTGCCCATGGCAGAAGCCTGTTCAACAAGGGTGATCTTCCAAACGCAACCCGTCCACTTCCGGGCTTGGAAACCAATACCCTGAGCCATTGACCACGCAGTGATGCATTCCCTTAGCGCATCCTCCTGGGTGAATTATAATGCTTCACCAACCTGAAACAAGGTGGTTGGGGGGCTATTCCCCACATAAACCACCATTTGGGGTGAGGTTGTGTGAGGTCGTTATAATTCACCCAGATCCTCTAGCGACTCAAACTCAAGTCTTTGGCCAAGCGTCGCAACATGCGGATGGCAACTGACGTGCCAGCATGCCTCAGGAAGCTCTGCGCGGTGTCTGTCGCCACGTGGGCTTTGAGTGGCAGAGGGGTTGTCAACCAAATGGAAAGACCTCTGGAAAAAGAAAGGATGCGCCTGGGGCAAAATTGGAAACCCTGTGGAAATGTGGATATCCTTATGTAGAACTTAAGGGAAACAACCTCGTACTCTCAGGACATGTGCGTAAGTGCTGCTGTTAAGTTGGGGTTTGTGTGGTCAGCTTTAGGCTTTGAGGAAATCCCCATTGAAGGGGCTCCAACAGAATGGGTACTGTTGAACACGGAGTTAAGCGGAACCTGCAATTTTTTTAATGGGGGGGTGTTTGTCCAAAAGCCTCTGCTTTGTTTATCAGCCAAAAAATCTGGGTGCCCAGCATGATCTCAATTCGGTGCTGTGGTGGATATCCTTTGCATAGGGGATGAATGGGCATCAACTATTTCGACAATGCTCCAGCCATAAATTAAAAAGGCCTCTCACACACAAACACAAAATAAAACGAGCACGGGATCCAAAAAAGGAGCCGTATTTGTCTGTCCTTTTCTGTGAATAAAACAACAGAGCCCGCCCCCATAAAGCACCTAAGCAACTCTGCTTCCAACATTATTCACACAAACATGATTCCCATAATGCATTCAAACGCCACCTGGACGTGCTTTGCGGGGGTCCTCTTAATCCGTTGATAAAAGGGTTTCTCCAGTTTTCGTCTGCACTGGCGGAGATTGTTTCTTGAGTACAAAAATGGCCTCTGGCAAACCATTTTGCACCCTTTGGCTTTGATCTTGGCGAAGTACAACTAATCACAGTTGGAAATATCACAACTTCTCTCAACCGGAGATTCATCATGGTTTACCCGCACGCGAGCCCATAATTTGCCAAGAACTGCGAAAAAAGAAACCTCACTCCTTGTTGTCAGCTTCCCTCCAATCGGTGGATTGGATTGATGGTCTGAAGGTCACTTGGTGGCTCCCCGTTTGCCCTCTACAAGAACCAGGGGTCAAATCCCCAAACCACTAGGAACGGGCGCGCAGCCTCCAATCCATTGCCGCGCGGCTTGAAGTCAATGCACTTGGTCTGCTCGCCCGTCGCGGGGTCCTGCCGCCATGGGATTGTGGGGGACGATGGGGCTGGGGGTTGGTGGGAATTGACCCGAATCCAACAAATTACAACAGACTCTACTAGGTCCTCCAGTAGAGAGGTTAGAATAAGGGTACCAACTTCTTTCTGTAGTCTATTTTCCCCCAAAAAAGGGTTAAAAGGGCGCTACTGGGGCCCTAGTCTAGCCATTCCACAACCCATCACAACCCCCTTGTACCTGCCCCCCCGTTGGGGTCGATCCGCGCTCCGCAAGGCATCCAACAGCGCCAGCCGCTGGGAAAACAGGGGAGGGTAAGTTTTGGTCACTCAGCGGAGTGACCCTACATGTTTACCATTATGTGCCTACATTCGGGAAAATGTATGGGGATGCGAAATAAAGGAGCCGTACCTATCCCACCCTCCTCCTTGGAATTGCCTCTGAGCCAAAGCATCCCAAAGTGGTATGCTGGCAAAAATCTAGTTCTGTCAAGCCTCACAAAAGATGAACACGACCAACAATAACAAAGACAGTGAGCGATGGCTGGCGAGACATGGGCAAAACCTGCTTTGGTTTCCTGGATCAACCGGACCTTCATCGTGAAAGGGCGTTGTTCCCTTGGAAATCGAAGTCCAAACTCTTTGCCTGTACAGGGGCCCGCAAGATTACCCTTCAAATTGTGGCTCAAGGAACACACCTCCCCTCCAAAACAGTAATATCGAGCACCCCTCAAGCTGAAACCGCACGGATCCAACAAAATCAGCCAGGACATTCTGGCGGGTGCTGGTCCAATTTCCGATGGAAATCCCTGTAGGATTCCCTCAGTTGCTCAAAAAAGCCTGGGACCAAAAGGCTAACCTTTTGGGGCCATGACTGAATATGGACCAAAGCAGGAAAACCAAAAGGTTAAAAGGTCGGCTTTGGGCAACTGAGTTCCATGAATGCAGCCACTGGTTCGACCCAAAAGCTGACGGCGACCCTCGCGCAACGAAGCCAAGCGCAAGCGGCTCGGTCCCAGAGCCGGGCGCAGCCAGTTCGATCGCAGGAGGCCAGGACTTTGCTGTCCGGAGAGAAGTCTAGGTCCAACACTTCGTCATTCTTCGCCTTATCTGGGTCTGCTTCTTTCTTGGCTTGGCTTGAAGGAAAGCCCTTACAAAAAACACGCCCTTGTAGGGAATCTCTTGGGCACACGGGAATCTGGGAATGAACCTATCCCTAAGGAAGCAATAAGGGGTGGTTCAGTTCGGGGTCATTTTCTCAGTCCGAAGGTGATCACCTTTTGGAATGACTAAACATGGACCAAAACCAGAAGGTCAAGAGGTCGATTCCAGCCTTCCACCAGCCGGCAGTGGCTAGAACAAAAGCACATCCTCTACTACGTCGTGGCTATGTACTACAAGACCCCTGGAGGTGAGTTTCTGACTTACCCAAACGTATCCTCTGGTCCCAACCCGTTCCATTTCATCAGATTCAGTTTATCCAGTCAACCTTCACTCAATTTTCATATTGGAGCGGACCCGTCCGGGAGCGTAAAAAACTGGGAAGTAAGGTGCTACATATCTCCATCATAAGAAGGGGGCAACCGGGGAGAGGGGGACAAACAAGGATGCGCTGGAATCCGTCAAACTGTTGTGCAGAGCTATCCGTAAGCTGGTTCTTTGTGGGTACCCATGGGAATCTGGAAATCAACCCATCCCCTTCAAAGGAAGCCACAGGCAAAGTCATTCCGGCTCGCTTGCCCAAGCACCTAGAAGTAAAAGCCGGACCTTGACTCAACATGGACCAAAATTGGAAAACCAGAAGGTCGATGGATCCGGTCCTTTCGCTTGCAAGTCCCTTCCCTCGAAAAAGAGGCAGCAAGCAATCGGTGAGAAGGGCAGCGGGAGCTTCCGACTTTCCGCCCGGTGGCGCACTTGTGCTTCAGCGGTGGCTCGCAGTCCAACTTCCCCGCCTACCGCACGCACGGCTCTCGGATCCCCCGAGGAGAAATGGCCCTGTTTACACACAACCAGGCGAAGCATGAAGCACAAAGGACAACTCGATTGAATAATTACTCTGTTTGGCAAGTGTACGTTTTTCCCTGGGTACATTCACGGAATTCCAACCCTTCCCCCCTCGTATCCCGCCATTCCGCGAGAAAAACAAAAAACAAAAAAATTGGGCTAGCTGCCGGCCTGACTAAGTCCATACTTAAAGAAGCAATGAGAGCGAAGGGTGGGCAGTGGGCCCTCACTTGGGTGTGGGTCAAAAATAGGTACACAAAATGGGAACCCTGGCAAATGGAAACAACGACCAAAACCTGCGGTTTTCTGGTGGCTCCATTTTTTGACCCATACCCACTTCTCTTTCCCAGCTTGGAAAAACCCTGCGGGGCCTTCTGGGCATAGGGGGTGTGGTTTGTGGGGCCCTGGACTGGAGTCTATGATGGCCAGTCCGCCCTATCATGCCAGGCATGGGACCCAGGCATGTGGGTATCGATTGCCGTCTGACATTCATATGCGTGCAAAAGGTGAATGCAGTCGACATGACTTTCATCCACTTGCCCAAGGTGACATGCGCATATTTACTCGACACGCAACCGGATAGAAACAAAAACACCTTATGGAATGGACGTTTGGCTGGAAAATAAGCCCTGAATGCGCCGGACACCCTTGCGAAATGGACAAAACAACAAGGCTGTGCTCGACTTCCCGAGTCCAGAAAAGCATGTCTGCGAGAAAAAAACACATTCCAGCATTACTTCAGAGCCAAGGGGTGGGGGGATGCGTGGGAAGGTCATGGCACTTAATGCTCTGGTCACGAATCAAGAGGGCTCTAATTTCCATTCTGAGATTCTGAAAGGTATAAGTCATATATGGGGTCCCTGCATTTTCCTAGAAACGCGTAACCTGTTTGGGCACCCACCCACCACCCACCACCCCCACTCCACCAACCCCCCCCCCGCTCCGGAGGCAGACGCTCCAAAGGCCTCGTACATGCGCACTACGCCGTCCGTGCCCCCGCAGGCCACAATCTCGCCGGAGGGCGAGAGCCTTGGAGAGGCTCAGAGTTTGGTGAGCTGCAGATCTCAGTTGCCCCTTAGAAAAGCGATAAAAGGTGAGCATGTTTTGGGGCCATGACGAAAAATGGGGAACCCAAATCAGGGAAACCAAAAGAAGGAAAGGTTGGCTTGAGGCAAGTGAGATATGGGGTCTGTCTTAAAGTAGGGGATCACTTAAAACACATAGTTTCCCTTAGGTTTCCCCTTAAATCCACCCCTAAAATCCGTGCCCTCAGCAAAGCACACACACACACACATGTAGGGATAGTTCTTGAAACCGTTTTTCAGCGTCCCCCCCCCCCCCGCGGACTTTTCGCGGCCATCCCCTTCTCACCTGCAAAACCGGGCTGCCCTCAGATCCCCCGCTAAAAGTTTAACTTTTAGCGGCTTAAATGGAAACAACCACTACACGCTACAAGGCTAAAAAGCTGAGGAACCGGATGGCTGGGAGCCACCAACAAAAGATGTGATTTCCCCCAACTGACTGATTCCGCTAGCATCTCCACCCCAAACTTTGCAAAAGAAGCCTTGAGGCCACAAGGTTTGTTTTTGTTTTTTGGGCACCTGGAGTTGAGCGTCGCAAGTTCCACATGTTCTCAGCAAGTTGCTCCGAGAGCCTTTTCTCGTGGCAGGCCCCTGGAAGCTCTGGCTCCGGGGATTCCAGCCGCTTCCAAGGGTTCCGGAGAAGCGAAGAGCCTCTTGGGCTGATCTGCTGCTTCCAAAAAGACGATGAGAACGTCTTGGACTGCAGCCTTTGTGGTCCGTCCTTCCATGGAAGGGCTTAGGGAAGGCCCCTTGGAAGGCACTAGATCATGGCTTGGCTTTTGTTGGATTTTGTAGGGCTTCCCGTAATTGAGGGGTGTGGTTTTTGGGGTGTAAATCATTGCCAAGTGTGTCCATCTTCATTTTGCGGGAGGGTGCGTCCATGATTGGGGTGTGTGTGTGTGTTCCGTTGGATGGCGCATGAGGCTGCAAGGAGGGTACTGAAAACGTACTCATTACGTAATCCCTACGCGTGCAACGGTTCTGTGCCGACTTTCGTCATGATCCGCTTGGGATCTTCAAATGACCCAGTGGGCTTTTACCTGAAACCTACACATGCAGCCGCAAGTGTGGCCTCCCGACCAAAAAAGGGAACCGGAGCCCTTTTTGGCGTTGACTTGCGCCGCGGAACGGGTGCCCGAAGGACCTGGCAAGAAAAGGTTCACCTCTTGGGACCATGACTTAACATGGGAACCCCAATTGGGAAAAACCAAAGTGGTCGATGGATCGCGTCAATTCGCTTTGGTTGCAAGCGAGATATAAGCAGGGAAGGGTTAGCTCAAGTGACCATTGTGCTATACTTTGCGCTCTCCAAGCAGATATTTCTAACAAGCGTCCTATGAAGAAGAAACAATTTTCAAGATGAACAAAGTATCATTCGACACATCTGCCATGGCGAGAAAGCAACTATCATACTAGACAACTATGCCATGCAAAGCAACTATTAGACAACTATGCCATGCAAAGCAACTATAAACCAAATGGCCATTCTCCCCAATTTGTGGTTTCCCTATGGGCGAGAAAGAGACAGCTCCGGCCGCGCGCTTTTCCCGTTCCCAGGCCTGGAGATGTTCTGGCTGGGCCCCCTGGGATTCGCGGGCGCTCTCGAGCGGGCCCCCCGTTTGGGAACCCAGGGATCTGAAGGGAAACCCAAGGGGAACCCAAAAGGAATCCTCGTAGAAGGAGAGCTCCACCGCTCTCTCAGACCAAGGAACCGAATAATCCAAAAAAATGGAAACGGGTAAGGGGGCGGTACAAACAAATCTCAGAGTCACCGAATCTCCTCTCGACTCATTGCCCAACATCTACCAAGACAGGGTGATAGGCATGGAAAGGGGATCGATCCAAAGGAAATCCATCCCCCCCCAAAAAAAACACCGAAGGAACATGAAGGAAGGGGGAATCCAAGGCAACAACCCCAGGGAACCCAAGCAAACCCAAAGGGAAATCCTAGGATTTCGGTGGGAACCTGAAGGGCTCAACATAAAAAGCCGTCAGGATTGGGCCGGAGGCACCCTCTCACCCCCCCCCCCCCGCGGCCAAAACTGGCATGTTGCTGGGTTGAACAAGGAAAGCCGAGAAGTCAAGGTGGAAAGTCAAAAAGATCCTTGACATCTGGCTGATTTTTGTTTTTTTTTGCAGGGGGGCGGGGGAGAGGGAGTGGAATTGGGTGCAACGCACAACAAAAAACGGAATGGGCGCGTCCGGCAAAGCGAGCATTTCCAGGGGTTCTCACATTTGCTTTTGGGGGTCGTGCTTTCCATTCTATCCACGATGCAGAGGGTAACTTTTGGGACGTCACTTTACTGGACTTAGGACTAGGAGCTCGGAAAACTGGGCCATGCGTCATACTCTTGCAGTCTACCACGGCCTTTAGTGAACGTTTTCCATCATGTGGGGCACGCTCTTGATGTGCACACATCGCCGATGGCAGTGCGGCAGTGCTTCCTCCTGAACATCCTTCATGGTTCCTATTATCTGAAATCTGTAACCCGACACATCGTGTCGTATAGCGCAACCTGTTTGTTTACCCCTATGAATTTATAAGTCCCAAGTCCAAACATCCGGAGAAGTTTCAAAGTAGGTTTCAACAATTCGCCAATCTCAGAGAACAACTCCTTTGGAAGGACTACCTTCGCAAACGCGAGGACGCTCCAGTTTGCCCAACAATACACACAGATCATGAGACGCGGGTGTCCGTTTCTCATATCCAAGCGTCTTCCCCTCAACCTCGGATGTCCACTCGCAGAGCTGCATGATGGTGTTCTTCTCAACCTGAGCTTTTGGTCATACCCGTCACGCTTCATTTCTTGCAAACGGGGTTAGCCATATGTCATACTTTGGTGGTTAGGTGAAGGTGAAACGAAACCCTTACTCTGGTTAGAAATACTACATGGTTGGTGCAAGGTGCTTTCCAATGGTCTGAATCCCTGGAAGTGTGACTTCGATCTGCGCCTGAGGCCTATGAGTGGGACATCGACCAAAAAATGCCAGCAACAACGGTACAACGTAAAACACGTTCAGCTGCCATCAAGGGCTTGGGAAACTGGAAAAGCCATGGGTGCGATCAAAAGCCCATGCCTATAGCGCTGGAAAAGGGGCCCAATCGGGAATGCTTGGGCGAGTTTTTGGAGGCTACCCCTCTGCTGCTGGCTTAGGAAAGCCAAGGAGCACCACCATTTGAGAGGTCCCTGCTGCCCTGCTCCATCTCCAGATCCCGTTGCAACTTCGGGATTGCTAGGCAGCTCAATTCGTTTCCCGCACGTGGCCTTTGCAAACAGTCACATTGGCGGTCAAACCTCACTTTGCCGGTGTTCTGTCCCTAGTATTCGCAAAACCTTGAGGCCAAAGCACCCCATATCCCGACTCCTCTGCGGGGAAAAGTTTGAATAGCCTTCTTCTGGTACTTGACTTTTAAGAGAACTCATAAAACCAAGGACATAACTGCACAACTCGACGCGACTAGCAGAAATCTGACATGGGAAAGTCATGCATCCCGAAAAGCCACAACGTGGAACCCTGGGGAATCACCAAACGTGTCCAATCCCACAATTCCAAAACATTCATGCTGCCACTAGTCGAAGACACCCCGAAAAGTCCCCAACAGTCTGAAAGTTTGGTTTTGGACAAGTAACTCACTTCCGATCCAGTGGATTGGTAAAAAAAAAAATAAGCTTGTAAAATGGCCCAAAACCCAAAAAGTGATTCACATCCGAAACGGAACTCGGGAAGTCTTCGGTCAGCCATCCGTCTCTCCCCCGCCTCGCCTCTCACCCGGCCCAAAAGCTGCATGCGGCTTGCGGCGAGCCGCCGAGAGCGTGAGCACCTTGCAGCCAGCGCCTGAGCTGCCGAGCCACAAGGCGCCCCCCGCGAAGGTGAGCGCCACCACTACGCCTCAGCGACACGAGGCATGGGCCCATGCGCTGAGCGCGGCTGGAGCTGTTGGAGGGTTTCTGGTTTGGGTGGAGATCTGGTTGTTGACCCCAAGGCTTGGCCAGGTATCTCTACTTGACTTTGTCAAGTAATAGAGAAACATCCCAAATGTGGGTGAGCTCCTTTTGGTTCCCTTTGAAACATACCCAAAAAGGGTACCAAGACAGCCCCACTTGTTTGTCGGACATACCATCTACCATGCGAGCGCCAGCTTGCAACCTTCAGGGGTGGCCATGACTACATTGGGCCTGGTGGGGAGGAGTTTGCTCGCCACGGGCAAACAAAAAAATCACCGTTGTGGACTGGCTGCTTTTTGAGGAAGCTCAACCCCTGGCTACAACACACAACTTCCCCTTGGTGGTTTGGTTTGGTGAATCGCGGTCCGTGGCCGTGTTTCCAGCTGTTTTTCTCCATCCCTTCCATCAGGTGAACCTTTGCATCGTACTTGGGCCAATGTCCTGTTTGTCAGGATGTGAAGTTGCTATTTTCGGCCATGGCTTCCCCAACAAGGGGGTCACAGGCCAAGGGATCGAAACAACTTGAAAAAACATGCTGATACTTTAAGCAGGACCAGCAAGCAAAGCAACACTGGAAGACGTGGGCTGTGTCACACATCTAGGGATCCACCCCTTCAAGTCCATCAACTGGAAGCCAGCCCATCCATAGTTTCGGTCTTAACGCTGGCCCCTGATTCATACGGCCCCCAATTATTGTTAAGGGTGGGTCTGGTTTTAGTGGGGAATCCGGCGAATATGCAAAGTAATCATGCCTGCGTGTAAATACAAATCTAGAACACCTACTTAGTGCAATTTGACGCGGTCAACAAGTGTAACGCCATACTATGCCAAAACTGACAACAAGAAATAACGTTGCTGCTCAATACCTACTGCAGCATCGTGGCCTTGAAAGAGTCTGAAGACTAGTTTGGGGCCCAACAAGGTCAGGTTCCATGTTCTCAACCAGCTGCGCGCAACCATTTCGGGGTGGATTCCACTACCTCCAACAAAACAGCTGAGGGCTTGGGAAGCATGACGACCCTCTTAGACACTTCAATGGTGGCAGGGCTCCGGTGGGAACCGGAAGCCACCTTCTTGGGTTGGTAATCCTGATTGCTCAAGCAGACCAAATCTGCCGACTTTCTTGGTTGGCAGTCGAGAGGCTCTTGCCAGTGTCCAGCGATGCAATGGTGCTCATCTGGCCGGTCTGCTCGTCATATCGATGCGCCTTGTCAAGCAAGAAAAGTGTGCCTTTCTTCAAAACCCCGATGGCAGCAGTGGCCAGTCAGAACCATTGAGGGGAATTTCAAGCACGTATTATTTTAGAGGCATTGATGTTAAATGCCATAGAATGGTACTGCCTTACAACCTTATACTAGTTTTTGCTAGGGGTGTTTCTGTCTTGAGCTGGGTATATACTGATTTTTTGGCGCTTTCTAGAGGGACACCAAAAATCAATGCTCTTTTTGAGGGTACCCATGTCTTAGCGCCTTTACAGGAAGACCCCCAAACGGAATTATCCACAATTTTTTGGGGGTGGTGGCAACCAAAAAAAAGCCGACGGACGCGCGCCAGGTCTGGTTTCTCGTCGCCTGCACCACGTTGGGCACCTCCTTGGCGGCCTTCTCCCCGCCCCCGCCGCAGGACACGAAGACGCTGCCGTCCGAGGCCATGCCCAAGACCGGGAAGGGCGGGTAGAAGGTGCCTCAGCGCGCGCGCAAAAGGGACCGCCCGTGGTTAGGCACCGGCCCCCCACCAAAAAAAATAGGAAAGCAACCAGAATCCTTTTTTAATTGATTGTGTTCTATCTAGTCTAGAAACATCTATAACTGCTGGCCCGCCCATGTTCCAATAGTGGGGAGCGCACCAACCTACAAGGTTGCCCAAACCAAAAAGGGGTTCCCCCAAAAGAAAATCACAATGGGCGGTCCCATGGTTACGGGCCACAAAGAGAGTCGACTTGACCTCGCCCCTCAAAACAAAAGAGGAAAATCAACCAGAAGCTCAGTATTCCCCGAAAAAGGCCTCTTTGAAGTCGCTGTTCGTGCCCCCCGTTGGGTTTGAGGTTGGGGGGGTCCTGCAAGACAGACTCTTACTAGCCCCACACAGGCCTTGGTGGCTATTAGCCCCTATTGGGATTGGGAACACGTGAGGCCCTGACGAGCCTTTGGCAACCACGGGAAAATTGGTCTCCATTTAGCTTCTTGGTCTTAGTGCTGAATGGCGGCCTTTTAATTTGTTGTCCTTTGATTCTGTGGTGTGCTTTGGTTTCTCTTGGTTGTCTTTGGGTTTTCTTTGGCCTTGATTGGGCTTCCATAGAGCTTCCATTGGGCTTCCCTTTGGCTCCCGTTGGGCTTTCTTGCCTACATGCCTTCAATTCAACGACTGAGCCCTCTTTCGACGCAAGTGTCCTTGACCTTCCTTTAGTTTTCCGTTGAACGCTTCTTTGGGTTCAACCTAGGTAGGCCGCTCCAATGCCCCCCCTCTGAAACCATTGTAGCACCCGCGGGTTCGCTTTTGCCTTCCCTTGAAACAATCTGACAACATGAGGGCCGCCAAACATGGGTCGATGGCTGTGTCCTGGAAAAATGGGTTCCAGGGAACGAATGATTGAAGCCAATTTTGCGCCTGCAGTATTACCGCCTTGAGAAACTTGGCACAGCAAAACGGACCAAGGGGGAAACGGCCACTCAACCACTGACTTTTCCCTCCACCCAACCACTCGCAGAGTCAGGCTGCATCGTCCCCCCTGGTAGCTCAAAGACAGTATGCGATCAGAAACCGGCTCTGAAGCAACAAGTTGTACCCATGGACCCCACCAATTTGAGCGTTCAACCGCTTAGAAAGCTAGATTTCCCCAGGTGAAGCATAACCCAAAATGAGCTTCGTCGGACCCGCGCAGGCGCTGAAGTGAAGAGGTCCCCAGCCCTGCTTTTTGTTTGGGGGGGGGTTGGTGGTGTGTGTGTGTGTGTGTGCGTGTGTGACTTGATGATGCTAGGCATGAACTATCATGAACTTCTTGCAGCGCAGGGCAGCACCATGACCTCCAACTTCCCTGCACTTCAAGGTTCCTTGAACCAAGTCAGGGTTCCTTGAAGGATACATCCAAACACCAGCTGCCTTGCAAGGGAATCCTGCGGTGGAGGTGATATGTTTAATTGGCCTAAATGTAAGCTTTTCGGGACTTGGTCCTTTGGTTTTCGTTGTGTTGGGGGAGTTCAGATCCGCTTGGGATCTGAAACTGAGAGTCCGCGCCATTCTTCCCCTCCTGGGGCAAACGCGGGAGCGAATCCAACCTCCCTGCAGGAGTTGCTTGGTTTCTGTGCGTTGTTGACCCCAACCTGTTTTTGGCCCCTGAAGCAAGGGTCGAATGGAGGCCAACAAAGGCAGGCTTGGGATTAAACAACAGCGCTGGTTTAAGCTGCAAAACGAGTGCTAAAACCACTTGGGGCAAAGTGGAAAGTTGGTTGCTTTCGGTGGGTAAGCAAAAAGGGGTTCCCACTTGCCCAAGTCGGGAAACAAATGGTAAGCCGAACGATAAGGTTAAGCGCTTGAGTTTCTTTGAGCAGGATCTGTTACTCAAACTTACCGGTGCGTGCTCCTCGTTCTCGGGCTGTTTGTCTACCTGAAACATCACCTTCCCAACAATTGAAAGATTCAACAGGTTGCCTTGCGGTTCCGTGTTAAAGTTCAAAAGGAAAACGACTTAGCAAGGCTCCACAAGGTGATAGATATTTCGAAGTGTCAACAACCGGGTTTCCGATTTCGGGCAGAAGCCTGATAAAGAACACAGAGTTGAAGATGGTCTGTCTTATTGTTTCTGGCTGCTCCGACCTACCTGAGGGTTGAAACCAGGTCTGCCTCTGGCACGCAGTTCTCTCCATCGGGCCCAACCCCCACCAAAGGGTGTGGTGACTCCCACCGCATCCGAGAATTCAAACATAAGAGGCCTTCTTCGGCTCGTTTTGTTCGTGACCCCACCAACTTTTTATAAGGGGCACCTGATTCCACATTTGCCCCCAGCTCCTTCATCAGGCGCAAAGCGCGGCCTGCAATCTATGACATAACTGTGAGCCAGGCAGCGTGAAGTTCTGAAGCGGCGGTGCTGCACCGGGCAGTCCGGGGCTCTATCCCGTCTGGGTGCTAAACACGAGAGTCTCGAATAAAAAAACAACAAACATGATCCATCCCGTTTGGTTTCCTTGGGGGATTAAACACTATGGCGGCACCCAGCCATGTCGCTCTTCGGCCGAAACGTGAAGGCAATAGCCGGTGCTCTTAGGCAGGCCCCTATCAGGGTTGGGGAAACAGCCCTTTGGGTGGGTTGGGGGCGGGTGTGGTTCTTTGACTTGGGGATTGCGGCCCAGCTGCCCCAGTGAAAAGTTCTATAGAACAAGGAGGCCCAAGCTATACTTTGTTTTGTGGGCACCCAGCAAAGCAAAGGAGATAAAGGGAGCCACTCAACAAGTAGGGGGGAGGTCATCCCTGGATTGTTGTTGATGGGTTGATTTCGCCTTTTGTCAGGATGGGGCAGTTACCCTCCGAAATGGTTGGGGCGCATAAATCGCCCACATAAATGATGTCCATCAATCAGCAATCCCGGTCCCAGATTTGGGTGGAATCCCCTTGTCAGGGGCGTGCAACCGGAGAACTTGGCCCAAGGGTACAACATACAACATATGGCTTCAGAGTCAGCCTACCCTACATGTACATCAATATCGGAGAGCCCGGAAAAGTGGTCTAAACATGGGCTCTACAGCGACTAACTAAGCCACCAAAGCAATGAAGGTTTCCAAGAGCTGGATTGTGCAGCGCATGTAGGGTTGTCTCAAAATTGGGGACCATGAAGATTTACCATCAACAAAAGACAAACCAACATGGTTTCCCTTTATCCTTCCAAACCACCGCCAAAAAGGGGGGGGTTCAATGCAAAAATAAAGAAAAAAACGAGACCCAGGCAAACGAGCCAGCTACGCAGCACCCAAAGCGAGTCCTCTGGGCTCCCCTGGCAGTCGCTCCGCTTCTTCAAGGCTCAGCTTGTCGACGGGGATGCCTCGTTTGGCCTCAGCTGGGGGACTCTGCGGGAGGAGTGGTGGTGGGTGGGTGGTGGGTGGGTGGTGGGTGGGTGGTGGGTGGGTGGTGGTGATGACGGCAGTGGTAGCAGTATTTAGTGGTAGCCGTGATCTAAGGGTTGATTCCCTGTCCATTCTTTCAAGTATTGCTCTTTTCAAAAACCGTCTGTGTCCTCCTTTGGTGTGGCAAAATTGATCCCTGGGAAAGAGCAACCCCGCAGTCAAACAAACGTGCTCTGTGTGTATATATTTATATTATATTGACCCCGTCAAGTTGTTGCCCTGACAACGGCACGGCCCAAAAGGGCCCTCCTGCTACCAACCCGTGTGATGTGGTCAAACTCGCCTGATAGCCAGCCTGACATGGTTCTCTAAAGCTTTCAACCCATCCGAATCCCAAGAAAAGAGGACTCTGACCATGGCACGTATGATGTTAGCACTTCCCAATCCTCGCTTCTTTACATCCCTAAAAAGGGCGATGGACCTGACCAGGGTAGGATACTACTAAGAAGGGCTGTGGGAAATGACCACTTCTGCGATACAAGAATAAGGGCCTCCCAAAGACTAACCCCCCACATAAAGAGGGGACTCCCTTGTATCACAGAAGTGGTTGGATAAACCCCGAGTGATCCCATGCAGATGACCCCGAAGAGTGCCGCTCCACCAGTGGCCACGAGGGAAATAGGAACCCTTGTGTGGGGAGCCGAATTCAAACGGAACCTCCTCACAAAGTTGAGGAGATAAGTGCAAGGCCACCAGGACGTACATCATCATATTACCTAAGGCCTCTCGATCTCCCACACAACCCGCCGCTTGCTACTAAGCTGGAGATATGAGCAGGTCAATGGACGAGGCAAACAACTAGTTAGGACGACAAAGGCGCTTTTGGTATCACAAGCGCTTTAACGTGGAGAGCAGTTGCTGGGGATGATGGCTTGCCATCACAGAGAGGGTCATGTTCCACCATGTTCAGGTGTGGGTTTTAGAGCTATGGATGTTTTTGTACTCTATGATATCCAAAAAAGCTTGTAAGGCCGTATTTTCCCCTTTAGATAAGCAACTCAACTGATCCCTCAACATGCCCATCACAAATAAAATATTGAATTCTTGCGAAAGGGAAAGTAGCGGGCATTGTCCATCTCCTGTGAATATTTTCCCGTTCAACAACTATCATAACCTGTAACTCTCCATTTCTCCAAGACTTGCTGGTGCTCGGCAAGGAATGGTGGGAATGACCCCAGGCGTTGGTCCTGACGGAAACCACCAGTGGCATCTTGGGGTCAGACTCCATTTCCCAGGGCCCCAAGAGGCGTCTCCCGCGCCAAGAAAAACCGCCGGCCAATGCCCCCGAACCATCCAACTTTGGGCTCCCCAGTCCCTCTCGCGGCAGCAAGGGCTACCCACACCCAACCCCTCTCTCTCTGCCGTTCCAGAGGGATCTTGACTCAGCACAACGAAAAAAGGTGCCCACTGATACTTGGGTGTGGCTCAAAACTCACCAGGAGGGGTCATGCAGGTTTTGGTCCATGTTTCCACTTACCAGGGCAAGCCATTTTGGAATTCCGGTTTTTTGAGCCACACCCACTTAGGGGCACTTCAACAGCATAGGACAACGCGGGCGCCGCAGCTCTCGCAGCTTCAAGGCCTCGGGCGCACTCATCTTGCAGCGCTTCGCTGCGCATGACACCGCCCCAGGTCGCCACCGCCTCGGCTGTCCGCTCGAAGGAGACACCTCCCACACCTTTAAGGGCGGATACGCCCAGGGCGGGGAAAACGGCTGGTTTGGGGAATTGCTGATTTTGTTGGGGTTCCCAGAAGTCCTCACCTACCTAGTCTTGCCGACCTGGGAGGTTTGTTGGAAATCTTTGGGCTTCTTAGGGTTCCCACAGTTCCTCACAGACCATCAGCATGTATTGTGTTTGTGTGTTTCGTTGATCTTCCCAGTTACCCGCCCACCCAGGAATCAGATAATCCCCAACTCGTCTGGTCTGGATTGAAGGCTTGGTTGCACATTGACTTTGGATCTACTCACATGGTCACAAAGGTCTATAGAGGCTTTGCTACAAGCCACGTAGCAGACCCACCTACTTAATTGGCGGAAGCCTTTGGGCGCTGCTCAATTCGCGTGCCTTTATGAAGGGATTTGGTGGTTGATAACTGTCGTCTAACCTTCGCAAACTCCTAAGCCCTGTGCCAGGAAAAGGCGTGAGCTTCTCGACGACGCCAAGTATGATCCATGCAACTAAAACAACCACCAGGATGGCAATTGGGATCATTCCCCATAGCTAAGCCTTTACTTAGGCTTGCGGGCTCCATGTCCCATTTGTTGAGCCCGTCGATTAGAACAAATCGATTTGTCACCCAGAGGCCGCATCGAAGGGGCAGGGATCTACAAATGCGAGTCGGTGAGCTCGCAATCAAATCGGCAGACAAATGGCCCTCAACAGGACCAAAACAATACCAAATAAATTCTAAATCCAGGAAATCATGTAAACCATGTCAAACCTAGAGCTAAACAAATCTCTTGCTACCTACCTTTTGGGTGACCCAGAATGGGTTCAGACAAGCGGGTTCCGTACAAATGCGCATGATTGTCCTTCAGCGATCGACCAGCGATCCGCTCACCCAACTCTGGAGTACACTCAAAATCAGCCTACCCTAAAATAGCAAAGATCCAAGTATGTTGACAGGAACCCGCGTCATTATAGCAGGACATGTGGGAAACCAAGTATTCTGAGAATCATATCTTCTGGCAACCCTAAAAAATAAAGCATCCTCTTTATATAGAGGAAGCTCAGCTGCACACAAGCTAAGCATCGCGGCCATAACCTCCACCAGCTCCTCCCGGTCCAAGGCCTAGTAGGCAACAAATGGAGGGGAGCCTGGCTGGAAGAGACTGTCTAAATACACGTCTACAAAAACATAAACTTGCGTGTGTTCGGATATACGGGTGTAAATGAATTTATAGAAATATGGATTATATATATGTGTGTGTGCATACATATGTCAATATAAATGTACATATGTGCAGCGTTGCAAGGAGTGCACGTATGTGTTTATGTATGAATACATCTCAACCATGGCAAGGGTGGCGGTTGGACCTTTACATGCTGCGATTTTCATAGGATTTCATGCCGCCAAAAGACCCGAACGCACCCCCAATCCTCGTGGCTGACGTCCGAAGCGGTCGTTACTGGAGGACACCTGGAGATTCGGAGGGGGGTTGGATCCTACAATGGCCCCATTATTTGACCACTAGTTCACCCTTGAGTGGTCATATAGTTAAAAGGAAGCCAGCAATTTCAGTTTCTGAATTTGAGATTGGGTTCACACACTGCAGCACGACCCGAGTAACCCCAACAGCGTGCACCAAAATACAATTCACATACAATTCCCATGCCTGAAGCCGGAACTTACCCGAAACCTGCCTAAAGCCGTACTCAAACCTGACGCCGGGCCACCAACGTGGAACCTAGCCAGCGGTCCTGGAACACCATCTTCCTCTGCAAGGAAGTTCGCACGGTCAACCACTTGAATTTACACACATATCATATCACGCACCCAACCTGTGAGTCTCCCACCGATTATCATGGGCACGTTCGGGGCGGTCCTGGTTTGGACCATGTTCTCACTGTTCCGCTTTGTTTGGTACTTCCAGTGGTGAAAGATTCCCTTAAAACCACCAAGGGAAACGACACACATTCTTAAGCAAAGCAGGCCTATCATATCAAGGTAAATTTACACACACACACACATGTCATTGTCTTCTCAGCTCTCAGCCTTTTTTTTCTGGTGCTCAGCAGGGAATGTGGGCATGAACCAAGGGATTCCCTCAAAGGAGGCCACCAGTTGGATGGTTTTTCCATTCCCTGCTGAGCATCAGCAAGTAAAATGAGCTACCCATGAAGCTTCCGAACTTCGGATTCAAAGCCCACGCGCACGGGGCTTCTGGCCATGGGTCAAACTCCCGTACCCCCAGTGAACAGTCCAATCCCCACTCAAATAGACTAAAATGAGTGGTGCACCTACCCCAAAACAGGATCCTAAAACGGTTTTGACCCACAGCCTTCTAAGTACATGGCCAGCGTGACACGGTCGGAGCGCGCCGAGCTAAGCTGAGCTTCTCGCTCGCCCGGCGCGGTGGGCGCCGCTCGCGGCCACTTCTGCAGCGTGGCAGCGGCCTAAGAGTCCAGAACGGCTTCAGGGTGGCGATGTCAGCCTCCCCCAAGTGCTTTGGAGCCCGCTGGTTTGGAGGTTGGGGATGGCTTCCCTTTGCCCCCCAAGAACCAGGGCTTCACATCCAAATCCAAACCACCCCATAGACGAAATACCAGTTTAGTCTTTCTTCTTTTTTTTTTGTGGGGTACGTTGGTCCATAGAGGAACCAATCGGAAAACCACCATTTTGGGGGGGTCCCCCCAAAAAAGACACACCCATAATATGGGGACGACACCATGAATCTGTAGCCAAGTTGTCGAAACTTTCGCGGAGTTCAGCAGCGGCTATAACCATAGTATCAAGTTTCAAACTTCAGGTTTTGCAACAGCTGTACTTTTTCGGGGTCGGAAACGCAACATATTCTCGCAGTTGCCCAGTGTCTCTGGTAACTTATCTCATCACTTGATGATATTTTTTGCATATTGATTGTGTTCATGCGTTTCGTTTCATAGTTTCCACACTTCCTATAGTTAAGCCCCCCAACGGGGCACCCGATTCCAACAAGGTTGTGAACAGTGCTTTGTATGGCTTGATACGGCCTACAAAGGTCTATCATTACAAATGTCCGCTTGTGTGTCCCTGACAGCCTTTGGAAGATGCTTCAGAGTATGGCTACCGTATATTCGTATTAGTGATAATTAGAGTGCAAAGTTCAACCAAAACAAATAAAACACATTGTATTGGCATGATCGTTCTGGGCCACTTCTTGAAACAAAGGATGCCGGCAACAGCATGACGGAAGTACTGCTCGCAATATGCCAAAGTGATTGTCAGCGGTACGTATAAAGTGGCATTTTGCGTACTCTCGCTACACCAGAATGTTGCCACTAATTGTGCCCACACAATTGGTTGCATTGCAAACCTTTCTGAGAACTGTTAAATCTTGGAACTCCGCCATACATGGACCGTTCCGTATGAATCCCTTTGTTTTGTGGGATCCTTGCATGGTGTGTGTATGCGCCAGGGAAAGGGCTCCGGAGCCCATCCGGACGACCGAAGAGACGACCCCTGGGCACTTCAAGCTGATGTGGCTGCGCCGTCAAATGGGGAAATGCCCTTGTTGGATGAAGTTGAAATGTAAATCAAACACACACACAGCAGCATCACTGGGGGTCCCCTCTTTTCAAACACAAACATGTTGACATGTCTGCTACGGCCAGCAATGGCCCGGAAAGGATGCTATTTTCGCGCACACACACACACACATCGTGTCCGTTGAGGTTATTACGCCTCTGCTTCGCATTGACATTTTAGGACCATGTCTTCAAACACAAACAGGTTAGAGGATGAAGCACGGCAGCCTCTGCTCACTTGTTCGTGGTTACGGCACCTAAATGAAACTCTTACAGCTGCTGTCCAAGTTCCGCAAATAAAGCTCGTTGACAACTCGGCAACTTCCATTTGAGTGGGTTCTTTGACTACGATGCTTAGCCCCCTTCTATTGTCGATATGTTTTCTCACGTTGTGATTTCCTTACAACAAGGGGGTTGCAACCCAACTAATCAAAAGGCACTTCCCCCTTTCAGGTTCTGATAAGATTGGCCGTTGATTCTTTGCAAAGTCCCAACCTCCCACAGGGCGAGTACAGTTGCAGGCTACTCCATCCTCCATCCACCCCCCCAGCACCGCACTATTTCTCCCACACGGCTGCGTCGATCGAAGAGGGGTTCCACGCCCAAACTACTGGGATGACCACCAACCACTTGATCAGAAGGTACTCACCCGGATTCAAGTCTCGCCTTGCTGGGGAACACCAAGCAGAACATGTTCAGATTCTGCTTCATTCTAGGGGCGCCTTCCCCATTCTTTCCAGGCATTCTTTCAAAAAAACCACCCAAAACCCTGGGGAAACAGCTGGTTTTTGAAGAACGATGGTTGAAAAGAATGGGGAATCAACCCCTAGATTCATGTTTAGCTCTCCCGAATATGTCAAGCAGTTTTTGGAGGAGGCCCTAAGCAGCTAGCTGGTGGCGGTCCGGTGCAATCGCCACAAGTTCCAATTCAGGCGGCCAAAGGGCAAGCCCTGTCACTACCTGACAGATGGCGAACTGAAAGAGGGGTGAGGTCGAAATGGTCGGATGATATGGCCAACGACAGCCTTTCACATATCCTTTTGACGAGTCCCAATCTATGATAAAGAGTAATGACAAAGTTCAAAAGCGTGCATCGGTACCTTGCAAGGACTCCCCTGACAAGGGCGCACCAAATCGCACCATTTGTGCCACCTTCAAGTATGCATCCCAGGGTCCCCCCCCAACAAAAGCTCAAAATTTGGAGTTGCAGGATTTTGTGGCAGAACAAAATGATATTGTTCATCCCACTGACGGCAAACAAGTTGGTGATTTCCTCCAACGTTCCTGGCTGTGGGCTTCCATGTTCTGAAAAAGGATCCCTGAAACGGAGTGAAGATATGGCTGCAGTCTAAGGATTTCAAGAAGGCCACAAAGTTGCAAAACACATGCTGAACTCAAAATGACAAACAACTCGTCGGCGCCTGGAAGGTGGACAATTCGTTCCGAACGGATGCCACACTCCTGGACAGGTGTGCCAAAAAACTGCTGCTGTCAAATAATGGCAACGACCAACCAACACGATCATAGCCTTTCCCTGGACTGCGCAAAAAAGAAACACCCCGGGGGTTTGGAGTCGCCGAGAGCAACTGAGCCGCTTGAAACGCCGTCTCTTCCGCGAAACCCGGGCTATTTGGCTGAAGGGGAAATCGCAACACCAAGTTGTTGACACAGCCAAGGTATGGTCTTGGGAACCAAGCTGAAGGGGGCGGTCTGGAGTTGGCTGGAGCCGGCTAGACGTAAGCTCACTTCCCAGCACCCCCCCCACCCGGGAGAAAGTAGTTATTGGGGGGGGGGGTTGTGCTGGTCCTGAGTGGACTTGGGGTCCGTGACTTCCTCAATATGAGCCTCTTGGAAGTACCACCCAATAGCAGTTTTTGTAAACCACTACTGTAGGGGGCCCAGTGGACTTGGTGGTTCCACAAACATGGTTGCAACGGTTTGTTTGGCTTTAAACAATCCAAACGAAACTAGGGAGTAGAATCACGTACTAAGATGTTATCTAGGGTTTTTGGGCGCTGTTCATTTGAAGTTGGCGCGCAAGGTGACCTGTTCAACTTGCCACCAGCAGGAAAAAACAAAAAGGGGGACTGACCCCCAAGACTCAAGATGTTTGGGCTCTGCACCCTGTATAACCCATTCACCAGACGCCCACGTCTGGGTTGGCCTCTCCCGCCAGAAAAAAACAAATGTATCCATGGCTTACCCTACTTTGGATGGGCGAAATCCTGCATCACAACCCCCTGCAAATGCCCCCAACAATGGTTTCTCATGGCTTTTAGGCGGCGCTGGATTTCGTCCATCCACAGTATGAAAGGAAAAGGGCGCCCGTCCTCGCGTCCTCGTCCCAGACCGTGAAGCGAGGGCAGGGGGGTAGGCGGCCCCATGGCCGCCGCCAATTTTCAGCCTGGATTGTGAACTCTAGGGGTAACTTCCCCACTCTTTCCAGGAAACCTTCGTTCTAGACCACCAAAAACCCTGGGGAAATGGCGATCCGGTTTTTCAAAAGAACGATGGCTGAAACGAATGGGCAAGGAATCAACCCCCAGAGAAACGGTTTGTTTGCAACTAAGGCTCACTTCCGTGGATGTGGCAGAAGACTCTGAAGCTCTTGGTTTACCACTAGACTTGTCTTCTCAAGTCCAAAAACTCAGCAAGTGAGATACAGAAGAGTCAAGGGACTCGGGTCAACTGTCAGTTGACCCCGAAGGGGGGCCTGTCTCAGCCTTTTGTGGACAATGGATCGCGAGGGTTCCACAAAGTTCGAATTCCACGAAACACAAACAAACCAATTTACAGGCATACACGTGATTCCCATGCACCAGCTTCTTGGTAGGCAAGGAAAACAGCCTGTGGTGAAATTGCAGGGTGTTGGCAAACGTATAATTCGCGATCATTTTTTGCCTGGAGCCATGCATTGCATGGCTGCCTCAGCCAGTTCTGGAGAACAAACATGGGCCTCGCAGCTCGCGCGCTCGCGCCGCCTTTTTCTATGGCGCCAAAAGATCTGAACCCTGGCCCGCCTGAACCGCGGCAAGCCCGCCGTTCAGAAGAGCGGGTGAAGCGAGCGGATGGCATGGGACTCAAGGGATCCGACCGAGCTCTCAGGCTTTTCGGGTGTTCATTGAAACATGCTTAATCCACTTGTGCTTTTTAAATCCATGCAAGGCCCAAAGTTGGCCCAAAGTTGGGTCTTCTTTGTCAACCTTTGGTGCAGACTGCCTGCAACTGCGAACGCATGATTCTAGCTGGCAATGCGCTTAAAGCTCTCCGTCTCGTTTTGGATAGGATTCCACGGTAACGTTAGGATGCGCTTTTTGCAACAGTGAACCGGCTTAGCTTTATGCAACAAACAGAATCATGTGGAAGCCACAAACAAGCGCATACAAACCGTTGCTAGCATTTTGTGCGAGACTGCGACCATCATGATGCTGTCCTATAAGCTTCCACTTGCTTAAGTCCCCTGCCGTTGTTTGTTTCACGACAACTGGGGAAAGGTAACACATTCATATTTTTACGCAAGTGGAAGTGCTCTGCCTCATTCAATGACAGCACTTGGCAGCACTTCCCCTTCAAGTGCATCAGTTGTTGAGATTGTAGTACTCCTGGGCACGGCAATGACATATACAAACACATGGGTTTGCATTTTTTTGCTGAGACTCGGCACCTTTTTGCTCTTGGCTGCAAGGAAACCCAAAGGACACCGTCGTCCATTTTGTGGGTCTATTCCCGAATGGCTACGAGTGACATGCCACGATGTCCGCAAGACAATCGGTCAGTGTTTGTGTGAATCGACTTTTCAAGAAATCTTGTTTTGGGGGAATCACCCTTGTTTGGCTCCATGCAAAGTTGCAGGGGTCGCGAATCGCAATTCACCCACCAAGGATACAAATCAAGAAGCTTTCGATGGCGGTACGCCCAATGGCCTTGAGACCATTGCTCAAATCGATACCATGAATGACCTCTTGCTGTCTCTGACTTGGATTGGTCAGATGCCCAGACTTCCCACAGGAGCACTGAGCATGCCAGCCCCAAGGTCATATGGTCCAGCCAGTGACAAATAACTGATCCCTCAACCACTATAAGAGATCAGATTGTCATTCCCAAATCATCCGATTCTTGCAACCTGGAGTTCAATGAACATAACGGGCTGGCTGAAATCAGCTACAAAAAGCTGAGAAACATGCCTCTCTTCTCGAAAAAAATATGGGAAATGAGAGAACTCAGACTTGCACATGTCAAGCAGCTTTTCGCAGGGTTGAACGCGCCGTTCCACACCAAGGCAACTGTCTTAGAATGTGGTAGCAACAAAAGGCTTGACAAGCTGGACAAGGGTAGCTGCAAGGGCAGTCCGCACACACAAGCACACCCTATTGATTAGCTCCGGTGTTCCCTTTTTCAGTTGCTTCAAAGACCCTCGAAACAGTTGGCAAAAGGAATGATCAAGTGTTTGAAGTTCGGGGGACCAAATCGGAAAAAAAAAAGGCTTGCCCAGGGTAGTCCTCGCCAATCGAGGGGCGCCAACACGGAGGTGAAACAAGGCCGGAGCAGGACCACTGATGTGCCCAAAGCCTCTTTACCATTGTCGACCTTGAGAAGGATTCTTACCCAGGCCCACTTTTCTGCAGTCATGACTTTTCGTGGTAAGGAATGCTGGATAGAAAATCCATCCTCCATCCTCATGCCAAATGATGGTGAAGTCAGGATTCAGGATTAAGGAGTGGCACGCCAGGGTTACGAGACTTGTTTAAAGAATGCCTAATCATGATTGAATTCCCCCTAAAGGTTGACGAGGCGCCCGAAATCCGAACAATGAATTGTAGATTTGTTTTAGCAAGCACTGAGCACATTTACAACGGCCTCACTGCCTGAGTGGGTTGGCCAAAAAGAGTCCAAATTTGTTCTTTGCCACAAAATGGTCTTCCCTAAAAGTCTGAAAGTCCATCAACTCAGGGAGTGAGCAATTTAAAGCTTGCAAGCTCAAAAGCTCAAGGTAAAAACCCATGCCAGTCCTTGAAGGAATCCCCCAAGTACTCGCCGAAGATCACAGGTGCTGCATCCTTTGTGATCTTCAGTCTCTTGGAGAGGGGAGGTATCAGCTCGCTCTCCTCCTCCTTCAGGACCGAGTCATAGCCCACCTTAGCTTCAGAAAGCCTCGCTCTCTCTCTCTCTCTCCCTCTGACTTCGTGTTTGGGGGCCTTTTTCGATCAGGGCTCAGGCAACATGATCGGCATACCCCATGTCTGCAGGTTCTTTGGCCACTACTGGTTGCGGAATCCATGACGCGATTGGGGCCGTTCGCCAGGGCTCGGCTGTCAACGTGAAGGATTGACTCCAAAGTGCGGTTTCCAGGCCTGGTGGAAAGGAACATGCTTGAAGTGGGCGAATTGTGGCTTTGAAGGAGCCCTGCCAAAACATCTTCCTTTGCGTCCAAAAGAAACGGGATGTGCCTGTTTGAAGATTATTTGCTCGCTGGTTTCGGGGGTCTCGGACTTGCTGAAGCAACAACTTGGGAAATAAGTTGAAAAGGGGGTCTACACTTCTGGGGTAACTTGATTTTGCAAGGACACTGACACTGGTCACACATATGTGCAAACATCACAGCAACATGCACTTCGATGCACATCTAAAACCACGGGGCAGTGCTTTTCTCCGTTCTCTCTCCCGGAAAAAAGGACCAACCAACAACTCATGTTGATCCCAAACAAATCAACCATCCTATTGAATCCGGGGGTGTGCCCCTCAAGTGATGAATCCCCACCCAGCGGCACAAAAGCCCTAAGCGGGGCCCCCAGCGGTCAAAAGGCGTCCAAAGGCGCGTCCGGGCCGAGCCAAGCGGCCCCCTCGGGCGGGCCGATGGGAGCATCCCACTGGGGCTCGATGAACAGGGCGAAGGTCTCCCGACAAATGGGCCGCTCCTGGCGCGAGCGAGCGGATCGAGAAACGAAAAAAAACGCGTGGAGCCGAGGTTGAATTGGATGACCCTAAATGGGTTCTGACTTCTACGATCGGATGGGTGTGTACCCTTTTTAAAAGTTAGTCTGAAGGGAAACCAATTGGATTGAAGCTGCCAGAACCCACTGAACCCAACGGGAGCCCCATTCCAGTTTCCCCCCCCCCCCCCACCGGCCCATCCTCAGTTGGCTTAGGCCCGGCCTGTTTTCCGGCCAGCGGCCGCACTTGGTGGGGCGTGGCCACCAGCACCCCGCCGCTCAAAATCTGCGAGGCCTCGCCGATCTGGAAGCCTCGGCGTCCAAATGCGAGCCGAAAATCGCACGTCGCGAGCCGAACGCACGCCGAGCAAATCGCAGCCTATGTTCTCTCAGAGTCATGGAATACATACATATAATATAATATAACATATGTATATATATATATATATTGTACCCCCTCCCCCCCCCAAAGATCGACCATTTTCTGTGTTTTATCTCTGGTCACACATCCCAGAATCTGCAAGGTCTCGGGGGGGGGGGGGGGGATAGCATTTTTTATATGCGAATCATACAACAAACAAATGTAGGTCGACACATCTGCTGAATCATTGTTGACCTTGTGTTGTCCTGTTTGTTTGAGGTTATAGTCATGGTCTCATATCGTCACCCTACTGCGCCGCGAAACCGTACGTCGCTCGCAAGGCGGGTCACATTTAAAGATTTACATTTTCAACTGGACGTCTGATTAAGGGCTGATGATGGAAACCAAGAAGGGTCGGCAAGAGGGTGTGTGTGTGTTTGTGGATTCTACGAGAGATTTGAATATGGCCAGAAACCTGCTTTAGAAAAGTTTCAAGTCAGCCCCAACACATGTGTTTGGTTCCCCCTCTACAAAAGCCACAGATTCAAATCCCCAAGCCACCAATCCAAAGCACCAATCAAGGGTTACCCTCGCGCGCACTAACATGCAACCCACCAAAGGGTCTCTCTGAAGGAAAATAGCCTTCCAGGAGCCCTCAGCTAGGTTCCATGTTGGTGGACGGAAGACAAATCGGGTCTCTCGCTTGTGGAACTTCGTCTCCGAGGTGCCCAGGCAATCTGGCGGAAGGCTTACGCGGATCACGCTCCGGTCCCGGCCCTGGATGTACAAACCCCCGGAGCCGCTCACCGCTGAAGCAGGCGCCTCCTCACCTCAGGCCAAAGAAAAGGGTTGGGCGATTCAACCTTGTTTAAAACTGAGACATTTGTTGATTCCCTGCTAAAAGTTGGACTTTTACTGGAATTTGAAAGCAACCAAGCTCTGCAAATCCAACAGTCTCAGGGTACACGATCAATTCAAATTCAAATCAGTTGAGCAAGCTCTGTTTGGCTCCCTTTCTTTCACAGGGCGGGTTCTGGTTGTTTCAAAACAATGCCCAACCCTGCCCTGCCAAAGAACCCATCCATGCCCGGTGCGAAAAAGTGCTGTGGCCTGTTCTTCGCAAAAAACAAGGTGTGGCGGAACAGCGGAACAAAACCGCCAAAGGACACACAAAACCAAATCCGAAAATCCGAACCCCTGTTCGGACCCCGACCCGGACTGGCACTCAGAGCGGTCAATTTGTCTCAAATGGGAAACATCCGGCTCCGGAAGCCCCTATTCTCCCGAAGGACTTATACATATATGTGAATAGATACCCAGGAAATCCAAAAAACATAAGTAAACAGCGTTTCATACGTCTTTGGTCTTGGGAAATTTCACGCTCATTCACGCTGCTCACGTGTTCACCTCTTGTTCTGCCACTGCACAGTCAGACATCACCACCGCATTTTGCGCCAGATTGGTATTGGCACAATTTTCATTGTTCGATAAGACAGTGCTAGGCGCACGTGTAGTCTAGTGTTGGAGCCGGGCGTTTATCAGGCACCACGCCAGGATCATCCATTGGCTGGCTGGACACACCACAATTTACACTTCAGGGCTTGCACGAGCACCGTGCTGAGAAGTAGACTGAGCTTGCCATGCACATTACACACAGGAAGAATCCAATGTACAATGCGCACATGCAAATGTTGCGGAAACATTGCGGCCAAATTTTGCAGACCCAAGGATCTAGTCCGAGCCACATAGCTGGGCAAACGGCTTTGTAGCCATGTAATTGTTGCAGACCGAAACAGCAGGCTGTGGCATTTGGATCTAGGGGGGGGAACTCACGTTGTTTTCACGGGTAAACTCCGTCTTTCACGGTAAACTCCGTCTTTCACGGGTAAACTCCGTCGTTCACGCAAAATTCACGGTTGGCTCACGGTCGCCGATTTGTCAACGATATTGGTGAAGCATACAAATATAAACCGATATTGTTTGTGATTCTTATGTAGTATAGTTAGCTTAAAAGTATCCAATTATTATCTCCTAGACGGTAGCCCTGCCCATGGCACAACCCAAGACACGCTGTTGCGCAGTGCTGCTGCGCGTGTGACTTCTTGTATGCTGATGCCATCGCGTGAATCACGCAGCGCAGCAGCGAAATACTTGCATGTGGCCAAGGTAATCTTGATCCACGGGGTCCAAATCCATGCATGCTGCATAGCTAACATGAAGGCTTACCTTGTCACACGCGTGGAAATATGCCATACATGACTGCAATGTATATTGTTTGGCATGCAGGCATGCATGTTGCATCACCGGACCTTTGATGGTGCTTTCAGTTCTTGGGCCCAGTCAACAAATACCCCATTCACGGGCCATTCACGGGTAAACACCGTCTTTTGGGTTAAACGCCGTCTTTCTGTAAAGACATAGTTTACTGGCGACTTGGAAGTACTGGGGATAGATAGATATATATATAACAATAATACTACATACCCATTCAGCAAACGAATAAAAATAAAAATAATAATAATAATAATAAGTGTTCTCTGCGGCGCTTGGATCCTACATGGATCCCACTTGCAAGTTGGTTCGTCAGCTACTCCTTGCCTCCTTGGAGCCCGCAAGCAAACAGGTTACAACCCGCGGACTGAACAGCGGCCCTCACAAAGCGGCCTGAAAAGCACTGCAAAAGCGGCCTGAAAAGGGTGGTGCGTGTGTGCCCTTTGGCCAATTGAGTCACAATCCTCCGGGGCATCGCTTTCTCCGTGAATCTCTTGCCCAAACTCGAGTGCCTGTAAATGGAAACCAACTCCTTTGATACCTATGCAAGGTAGGCCAAGATTCGAAGCTGAAAGGTCCTGTCCAAAGGATCTGAAAAAAGATTCAAGGTTTGGCTCTGGGGACCAGAACCCGCGAGAACCACCAAAACACGGGTCGGTTTGCTTTGAAGGAGTGGGAACATAGGTGGGCCTCCACGTATTCCCCAAGGCCTTAGGCCCCAGGTTTGGGGCCAAAACAAACCTGCGAAGTTGGAAGCAAAACGTCACTGGCCCATGGGCTACGCCAAACAAATGGCATGCTCTCGGATTTTGCTTTTCACATTCAGTCAGCCCTAAAATCAACCCTCTAAACGGCTGAAGGAGCACAGACTGACGTTGCGCGTTCCGCCGAATGGGTTCGAGATTCATTCCGCAAGGCACCGGTGTCCTCATAGAGCCATAGCGCAGGCACAAGGCCCGTGATCACGCTGTTGTCGTTGTGCCAGCCGCACCAATTCTCGTCCGGAGAGGCGTCCTGAAAGCGGATCGACATCATCAGCTTCCCTCTGTTCCCTCTATTTGGTGCGTTTGGAGTGTTAGTTTAGTGGTTAAGGATAGGTTTCCCATCTACACTCTACAAGAACCAGGGTTAAAATCCCCAAACCACCATTCCAAACCACAAATTAGGGGTAGCCTGACGACCAGCAGGTGCAGACCTGCACCTGACTGACTCGAACCCCTACCAAAACGTTGTCTGTTGTTCAGGTATTGGGACTGACCCGGCGCCCTACCAAAAAGTTAAGCTTGAAGTGTTTGCGCGCTAGAAGGAGAAAAAAACAGGTAAACCGACATCATGTTCAGGTACTGGGACATCAGACTAGCTGCTGCGATAGGTAGGGAACGACAACGAGTCCGGGTGTGGAATTGGGCTGGCAAGTCGGGGATGGTGTATAGGGGCCATTCCATTTCTCATTCGCCTGAGAACCAGCCAGGAAAACCGAAAGGGCCAAAAGGGCCCAAAGGGCCAAAAGGTCGATTGAGTCTGGCATGGTGAATCGACCCTCAGCAACCTTGCAAATCTCATAGAGGCCTACCCAAAACCTATAGGGACCCAATGGGTTCCATTTTAGCTTACGATTCAAGCCAAAGAGGCCACAAAACGGGCCCTCAAACCAACAGAGCGCGCATGAACCGCCACCCTAAAACAACGAGTCAAGTTCCACTTGATTTCCCTACACAACACATAACACACAATTCTCTCAAATAATATCTCTGTGTGCGTATTTGTTTGGAGGACATCCTGTTGATTTTCCATGGCAATACCCTGGAAACCCGCCACATCTTGCGCTGGTTTTCCGAGAATGCCCCCCTATCGATCCATCGATGCCCTGGTGATATCGGATCGACCCAGGTTCCAACGCCCTAAGTAAACCAAAGAAGGGAGGCGGTGGTTTTCCGAGCTCACTGAATCCCCCAACGTGGGGCGGTTTGCCATTGGTTTTTTTCTCCTGAGAAACGCGGCTCGGAAAATCCCAGCCTGAACGAAAAATCGCCTTGGCAAGGTTGCCTTCTTGGTCACCCCTCATGCCTCGGACTGCTAGGGTCATTGGGCAAATGAGACACAAGGGCACCACAGGGAGTCTACCCTTCAAATTCAAAACCAGACGACCCCATGCCGACTTGCTTACGCTGAGCATCCGCCGAGGGCGCAAAGTAGTGCAAGAGCCTCGGTAGAACCCAAGAACCCAACAAACCAAACAAACGCTTCCTGAACGGGTAGGGTGGCAGCGCATATATGTTGGAGCCAAGGAACCCAGACAACAACCAAAAAAAAACAAGAATGCCAAGAACAGCTGACCCCCAGTAACTGCAGCAGCTGCACCCGTCTCAGGCACCAAGCCGAAAACCCAAAATGCCCTTCGCACGGATGGCACATGCCATAGTTTCAGCTTGCTATGCCTTGGCTAAACAGATGAAGAAACAAAACATCAAGCCAACCCACAATAACCCACAAACAGTTTGTCTAATAAGTTGTTTGGCCACCAACTAAAGGGGTCTGTCTCAAAACACGGGAGCCTCCAGCATGTTGGGTTTTGGTTTCCCTTTAAAATCACAACCATAACTACCCTCAGAAACAGACGTGATCAAACCATGCCAGCTTAGGTAACTATCTTCAAGTCCCGGCCCCGCGAGCCGTTCAACCCCCCGCTTGGGTGACCAGGATGGGTTCCAAGAAACGGGTGAAACTTTCGGATGCAACATACATGGCTCTCCCGTTTCTGCTAGCGATCGTGTTTCCGCTTGTTAGAAGCCATTTGACACCGTGAAAATAGATGGATTGAGGCATGACCCGCTCAAGCAAAATCCAGGAACTTGGGAAGTGAGATGACTAAGTGAACATGGCTGGAATCGTACCATCTATCCAAAGACACCCTGCCCAATCGCCAAAGCTAACCCTTCTTCGTGCATATTTTGATGTTTTTCTCCGGTTTGTGAAGCTTGTGAAAGAATTCCGCTTTAACGGGCTCCCATCAGCAAATATCCGAAGGTCCCCCACCCGTCACCCCGCCATGCTCAGGAAGTGAGTGCGTGGGTTTGTGGGCACGCGACAAGTGTGCACATGCTTGCACAGGCACGCGCGTGCGTAAGTAGTTTCATTCTTGCCCGACTACTGGGCGCGCCCTGGCGCACGCTAACCTACTGCTGCGGAGAACAGTGGTATACGTGAAACACGGTGGCGCGGGAAGCGTGTCGCCTTTCAGTCCCCGCTCCGGCGCGCATTTCCCATTCTGCGTGCGCGGCGGCGCGCGAGGGCGCCAGTGACTGAGCAAACTTGTTGTTTATTGTTGAACGAAAAATGCTTCAAGAACGGGGGTATGCTTGACTCGCCAAAGTGCCGCGCCTGTGCATCAAAAGCGCCACCCGACCCATTATCCTAGCAGTAACATATACCACGCGTTTTACTTTGCGGCAAAGGAGAATGCTGCTACGGCGAGGATACCTTTGGCGCACCGGGGTGTTGTGAAGTCAGGAAGTGCACATGAAAATCCATGAGAATCAGCTCAGCCTGAAACTGCACGCCATAAGCCAAAACTAAAGTCAGGTTGAGTTCAATGTGGATTGAGCTCAGTGTCCCAAAGCAATTTTGTTTCTGGAGAACGGTGTGACCCATGGTACAGGATTGTTGTTGGAGAATGGGGGTCCGCTAGTTAGAATCTACTCCCACCATATCCTTTCAAAAGTGACTCCCTAGCTCCCTGTCCAAAGGTAAATCTGCATTCCTTCCAACCACTAGCTAGTATACGGATGCTCCCCCAAACAACAGAGGCCTCCCCCCGCGCGAAAGCGCGGGACCCCGCCCCGGCCTGCCCGCGAGCATCTTGCTCTTGGTGAAGGCGAGCTCATGCAGCCGAGAGCCGTGGCTCGGGTGCCGACTCTGCACCAACTTGTCGCAGTGCTTCACTAGAAGCTCCGCGGTGTCGTAGACCTACGTGGCGATTCCCCGGGGACTGGCCGGCCTTCTGAAAAATGGCAGTCAAACCACCATCTCAACAATGACCCTACCTTGGCTTATGGTTGCAGCTCAAACATGACAAAAGGCAACAAGAAGGTGGGTTCCCAGGTTTGAGCCACTCCCACTCCCATTGGTATTGGAGCCAGAGGAAAGCACCATCATGGACCCCTGGGGGGGCTCTCATTTACGGCTTCTCCTTTTCTTTTCCCTGGGATAGCTCCTTTTCCAGTCCGCCCCCCATAAGCTTCCGGCTTTCCCACGTCAGCTCGCTTTTTGAGCCGGCCAACCCCCCACCCCCTCCGCGACCGCGAAAAGCGCCCATTGGCGAGGCGCCAACCTGCCGGTCTCCTTAAAGGCGCCCTCCATCGCCGGCAGCTCCTTGACCCAGACGTTCTTGCTGGCCCCGTAGGGGTACCTCGCATCGGCCGAGAAAAGAAAAGCATCTGACTTCTGATTGGCCGAAAAAGGAGAAAACAACGAGGTGGCTTGACAAAAAACATGGCAACCAGTTGTCTGCTTTATGAGTTGCAACTGAAATGGTCCAAATTCAGAAAGCGACGGAAGTCCAGGAACTGAAAAAAACAAGTTGCTCACCTACTGGTCAACGGAAAAACCTCAAAACGACCAACTCATTTCTAGGATCGCAATCTCCTTTTCGGAAAGGCACCCCCTTGTTTGGCAGCCGATATTGATTTATAGGGGAATGGCTTCGGAGTGATCCGGACCCGTCACAGGAATGCCTGAAAGTAGAATTGTGTCCTTGCGGAACTACCCCTGATTAGTACCTTCCTCCGGATTAAATCTGAGGTTAAAATTACCTGGGCTGCTGTCTGGCAGGCCAAGAGTGAGGCGGAAGAAACAGATGCTAACTGGCACCTAATGAAAGGAAGACAAAGTGCCGAGCCTGCTCCATCGCACGATTCGGTAGTGCATTAGGATGAGTGAGGTGCGCCGAGCAATGAAGCCAAACGCCCAAATCATGTAAACCACCTTGGGAAGCCAAAACCAAACGCGTTTTTCAAGGATTGGCCAACTAAACCCCTCGCACAAGCGACAAGCTCAGCGTCCCAAGCCGTTCCAAGACGCTTTTTGCGCACCTCCTCGTTCCCCTCCGCCGGGTCGTCCCACAGCGGGTTCGCGTAGAAGCTGCCCTTGGCCATGTCCGCCTTGCCTCGTGACGGATGAGAAGACGTTTGGGACTGTCTGTGTGTGTGTGTCTGTCCGGGTCCGATCTCTGTGTGTGCGTGTCCGTGCTGAACGAAAACCATAGGACAAATATTGGAAAAACCCGCAGGCCGCAGGCACCCTGAACTTTCACGACTTCCGCGCGGCCCCCTGCCTTTGAACATCTCCTTGCCATGACTCCAGCCGATGCAGTAGGTGGCCTCCGGACGCTCGTAGCTGGCGAGGGTCTCGGAACCCAGCTGCGACAGCTGGTAGGCGAAGGGCAGAAGCTTCTTCCTCGCCTCCTGAAACGAACAACGGCCGATATTCATGTGTTTTGCTTCGGTGTATTGTATGAGTGTACATGCATATATTTTGGAAACGGGAGGGTGTCATGTTGTTTATTGCGTGTTGCATATATATATATATACATAAAAAGATTGAGCAGCACTTTTTCTGCGCACAGCAAGTCCAACTTTGTCAAATGAGTGTCGGACAATATTACTTACTTGCCGAATACGTCATCGCAAAATTGGGTAGGCCCCCATCGGTTTTCAGGGTTTTCACTACATTCTATAGCTTAAGAGTTCGAAGTACACGTCTGTTACCCGGAAACACGCACATAACTGCTCCTGCAATTTGAAGCTGAAGCGAAACCGGCAAACTGCAGTTGTGCTCAGGGACCCGCAGCTTTCTTGTACGCACGCCTTGCGCGCATGTGTACAGGTTGTGCAGACTTCATGACTGCTTGTCTGGGAGTCCAGTGAACTCCAACCCCGATCTGCCTTTGGAGGCTGCCCTGCAATGGTGGGAGGCCTCGTTTCCAATACACGCAGCAAGTGTTTAGATTTCGTGGCCCAGCAGCTAGCTCCGTAAAACCGTGTGAGGCCAAAGGCCGCTGAGCACCTTTCGTAACGCATGCTCGCGCCAACAGCTACCTCAAAATCGGCAAGCCACACACGCGCAACTGCCTACACGATGAGTGTGGGGAACTAGCTTTTTGCTAACCGCTGACGCTTCTTTCAGGAGGCGCTTAACGAGCTAGAGCTCGAGCTGCTGCTTTCAGCAGCCCCCTGCTCATAAGCACTAATCTTTTGCTGCAGCATCGGCCACACGGTCACACATCTGGAGGGCATCGGTCGGGGGCATCGGTCGGGGGCGCTTGGCTTCCCGAACTTGTGTTGTCTAAGTGGTGTCTCTCTGCTTGTATTTTACATTACTCCCCGACGGTGCTCAACGGCCACAAAGCCCGGCGCAAGTTATGAGCAATTTGTGCGCAATCTCTTTCTGCGAGCCTCTTGTCACAGTCCTGGCAACTATAGTAGCCAAGCCTCCGACAAACTCCCGCGCGAGAAGCGCGCTCTTGCGCGAGTCTGCGCGCTGTCTGCGGTACCTAATGCTGCGAGGGGCTCTGTCAGAGCTACTTGTCACATCTGATCTGTGTAAAAAGCTCTAACACAGCTGTCTGTCACAGGCTCATCATTTCTGTCTGCCAGATCTGTCTACCAGCCCAAGTTTGACGCGCTCTTCCACGGTCCACTCTGCCATGAATTCAACCAGATTGCAAAAGCCAAAAAGGCTTTTGCGACGAACAATGTAGCATTGCAAGTCTTTACTCTTATTATGGGGCATCGGTCTTGGGTAGGCCCCCATCGGTTTTCAGGGTTTTGATAGGTATTTAGAGATTGTGAGCTAAGTGATGTCGCGCCGAATACAACCGCAGTCATTCAAAAATATTGTCGGGTACTCAAATAACAAACAGTTGCGCCCTCGTTTGTGGCAACAAGCCAAGGGCCCTTGCCCATTCTAACAGAGTTGGGGGCCGCAGGATTTCCCTTTCCCGCCAAGCCGAAGAAAGAGGAGACCCCCGCACCCCTAGCCCGAATAGGGGGAGGGGCCGCCTCTGGAGCTGCCCGCTCTGACCTGATCAAAGGAAATACCCTCCCGCTGCCTCTGGAGCCGAGCTCCAAAAGACAGGAGGGTCGAGGAGAAATCCCGGATTCTCCTCCCCAGCTCCTCGCCGTCCTCCCGCTCAAAACCACAGCAAACCGGAGCTGCTCCAAGGAGCTACAGACCGTGCACCACCGGAAGCTACCGTAACGGCCTTCACACAGTGGGCACGGCTGCTCCCCCATTCAAAAACCACAACCTTGAACTGACGTGGCTGCGTGCAAACGAGTGCTACAATCTTTAAACCCGCTTCGTGAATCCATATATGTGACATTATTTGAGAACGGCGGTGTGTGTGTGGTTCCTGTTCCTCGGCTGTAATTAAGTCCGTACAATATATGTATGTATATATATATATATATTGCCTAAATGCACCCTTTGCTTGGACAGCTCTAGAAGCGGAACAACAACAGGGGAAGGTCAATCTTATTGTAGCATGTCTTGTTGAAGGCACAGTAACTGTTCCTGTTGAAAGGACAAACAACCAGGGAGGCAGAACCAACTTCTGTAGAGGAAAGACCGATGTGCTTTTGAGATGGCCAAGTATATGTGGGTGTGTCGCTACCCCCCCCCCCCTTCCCCCACATGGTGGTTTCCTTTCGGTTGACTTTGAGCATGCAAAAACAATGTAGTACCTTCACATGTCTCCATGGCTTTGGATTTCCAAGGGCGGCCTTTCGTGACACTCACACACACACAGACCTACTCGCACATCCGTGCCAAGTTGGGCTTAGGGTAATCAAGCTCGTTAGGGCACTTGCAAAGACCAACCGCAAACAGGGTTGCTCCGAGCCAAATGACCAAATCTTGGTTTGGTTTCCTTCTTCCGTTGGTTTCCTTTGATTTTTCGGCACCCAAGTAACATATATATATATATATATGTGGGTCTGTCTTTTCTAGGGGACCACCCCAAAATACCAGTTGTCCTTTGGTTTCCCTTTAAAACCACAAAACACATGGTACCCCCCAGGGCAAACAACAAAACAGCCCATATCAACGCCTTCCGCTCCTGCAATCCTGGCACGCCTTTGACACCGCAGATGCCCAAACCCCCGGGGCCATACGCTTTGGCGATCTCTGCGCTCAAATCTTTGCCCTCCACGAGGTCCGCATAGTTGAGGATCACCACGTCCTAACGACCCACTGAACTCTGAGGACCCAGATGTTCGACCCGCAACCTGGTTTTGTTGGACCCATAAACCAGAAGGTAACATGGAGGTCGAACAACTGGTGCGAACCAAGGGTCAAGGGGAAATGGGGTATGAACCTTCATGCAAAGCCCTACAGGAAAGATGCGGCATATAAACTTTCATATAAAGGTGCCATAGCAGATATGTAGACCGTTTGGCCTTTGGGGTAGTGACTTGGGCGATGATAGGGGATCATCACCTTTGAGGCCGCGAACAAACTCCTTTGAGAATGATGATGTATTATATAGATAACAAATATGTATATATATAGACAGACATATATGTATACATGCTCAATGTCTAAGTGGATTGGCCAACAAAAAGCAGTAAGTATATCATATGTCTGTTTTATGTCCATTCCCAACCGCCACTGCCTATTCATAGGACTTGCATTTGTGGCATGCATTCATGCAACTGCCATAGTACCCAGGATACCTACGCCTGCGCACCCCACCTCCAGGCTTTCCAGAAGTAACAGCTCAAGGCCAGACAAATGGGCTCATTTCAAAGCAGTCATCGCCTGGGCAAACTTGGATGTTTCATAAACCTGAAACTGAAATACTTGTTTTCAGGAATCCTGAAGCCGGGGCCTTCATCATTAATGGGCTAGCTCTTCCTGATGAGCTTGTTATGACTAAGCCACGCACATATACCCTTGGTTGCAGTTGACTCCTCCGCAAACAAATAAACCATTTTATGTGGTTTTGATGGAATGCCCTTGATTTTAACCAAAAGTCAAAGTCGAAAGATCCGCTAGCGACACTCATGTCCAGGACCTAGTTGAGTTGAAGAAATGCACCAGCCCAAGAAGAAGGTTCCTATAAAAGGAACCTTCACAATGGGCCGCGAGGTCTCAAAACATTTGTCTTGCTCACAACCTTGCCCCATCTGAGAAGGCCTCAATTTGTTGCTGTATTTGGGGTTTAAGGCTTGCCCGCATCTACTAAGCTGGGGCGGCGGAAGACCATGTTCCTGATCCGCTGGTGGCTTGCATGGTGGATGGGAGGAAATCTGGCGGGGTCGCAGCCAAGGGGCCGATGATGTGCTCGCCATGGTTTCTTGATCTAAAACCGCTGCGGCAAAAACTAAAACGGGGTTCAAATCGTATGGCTTATGACTGCTACAAAGGGATAGTTACCAACATGTTGTTTCAAGTACCCCACTACTCCATTATCATAAATTGCTCAGGGGCTTGTAGTTGCCGCAGTTGCCTAGTGACACGTGCGGTAAAAGCAGGGCACGCTGCCTTCACCGGGGCTTGATTCAAACTTTACGTCGGGAACCTGGCAAACAAAAGGGGAATTGGGAGGCATTGAACAACTGGGTAAGGTGATCGGCGAACGCACCGCCTGTCCCACTGGCATAGACCGGGACAAAGGCGCACTATGATTGACAACCATGCCAAACAGCATTCTCAATGACCAGTATCCTCCCACCAACTAACATGGAGCCTGACAGGGTGTCCCTGGAAGAGTTGGTGGGAGAGTAAACCAACATACGTGAACATCTCCTTGGGTCCCATCCCGTCCACTAATTGACAAGGAACCTTGCCAGAGGGTTCCATGTGTTTTTTTTTTTTTCTGTGAGGGGGGGGGGGGGAGAATTGTTTTCACAGCAACATGGGTGGGAGGGTTGGTGAAAAGAATGCGGCAAGGGACAAAAAGGTCGAGCCAATGGCAGGACCTGCTTCGAAACGCATTAACTAAGCAAGGGGCTCACTACCAAGGTGCGTGTATGAGCAACGCTTCAATTCTGCAGCGAGAATGCCCACTGAACGGCCATACCCTCTTATTAATCAGCCAGGGTTTGTGCTTAATGACGTGTCTTGAGCGAGCAGCTGGGCGATGGGTTGGCTCAAAACAAGCGACACCTCCTGAGTGAATAGGCCAAACAAGTGCAGACTTCTTTATTCACCACTTCAGTGGTCCTCCCAAAAAGGTTGAAGTTCAGGAACTCAGGAGTCATGCGTTCCGTTTAAAACTGACCAAACATGTACCCTGGAAAAAGAGACACGCTACATTCAGCCTCTGAGTCTTGCCTCGAGTCCCGTGCTAAGACCGCGGCATGTGGAGCGATGTGGAGTCCTTTACTGCGCTCCTGCACGTCAGCCCATTCGGCCAGTGACCATGTCGGCTCCTCCCAAAAGAAAGTGACCGCTGGAAATAGCGAGCTTGCGCCTTGTTTAGCTTCCCTTCTTATGCCAACCCCAGTTCTCCAAGTTATATCCATGGTTTTAACCTACCTGACCTCACTTTCTCACATCCAAGTTCAGGTGGCGGCCTTTTGTCTTTTGCTCTCCGCGATGCGGTCCCGCAGAGAGCTCACAGCTTCGGCCTCCAGGCGCCCCAGTTGGGCGCAACCGCCCCCGGCCGAGTCGAGGGCGTCGAAGGCCGCCAAGGTCAAAACGTCCGGCGCCAGGCGCGCCGAGGCCATCTCTCGGCCTCTCGCG